TGTAACTGGACACGGTGACATCTGCTCCCTAAATTTGAGGATTTCACGAGACAAAGAATACAAGGCAATGTTGACTGTGTCTAACAGTATAGACAGTTACTAGCCAGTTAAATCTGCTTACTATTGAATTACCTGCCGAATGATGTAAGGAAAGAGCAGGGTCCTATTCTCAGGCCACAATAAAATGGACACCATGTAGCCCTAACTGGTTTGGTTCAGTGGATAGAGCATTGGCATGTGGACTGAAAGGTCCCAAGTTCGATTCCGGTCAAGGGCACGTACCTTGGTTATGGGCACATCTCCAGTAGGAGGTGTACAGGAGGCAGCTGATTGGTGTTTCTAATTCTTTATACTTCTCCCTTCCTCTCTGTAAAATATATATATATATTTTTAAAAAAAAATAATAAATGGACATCATGTGTAGAGACACAGAGAACAATATGCTTTATGCATATTGATAAAATATTTATGAATCATAACAAATTAATTTTTAAGACTTTTTATAATAAGACAAATCAAAAAATCATTCACCTCTTCTTTTCAATCAGACAATTGGTTTAAGTAGAAGTATTTTAGTTTTGTGTCTAAAGGCTCCAACACTTTTCATGGGAGGCTGACAATCGTTTCTATGGAGTAGCTGAAAATAATCACAGCAAAACTCATCAATTTTTATTTCCTATCATATAGCAAAGGCACATCCCTGAATACACTTTTGTTGCTTTGGTGTAAGAAAGAAATACTCATTGTTTGAACTGCTAGAATACATTATCTTTAATGGAAATTGGATCCCATCATTCTGGTTTTAAATCATCCTTTGGCATTCCAAAGTCTGCCTGTGGAAATTAGAGCTCTTTAACATGGCTGTTTAGAATGTAACTTGTCTCCACTTACCTGAGCTTTTTGCTTCTCACTCGTTTTTTGTATTTTTACTACCTTAAGCCGCTTGCTTTTGTCTCATCACCATGACATTCCTGCTACCTGCAATGCCTTTCCTCAAACGAACCCATCTGTCACCAGTGCTTTCCCCAGGAAATCAGTTATTTATATAAATAACCCTCTGCACTGTTTCCACAGGAGCCTATGTGTACCTCGGTCATCATCTCACCACTCAATTCATCATCACCCCTGGGCTGAACTTCCATGGTAGTCAGGAAGTGCACCTGACATAACTATCTTCCAATTAAGCTTCTGTTGTATGAATGCATGATACTTACTCATCACTGTCTTCTTATTTCCAATAGAACTGGTACTGTTCTGACATGTTGGGTGACAAGAATGCAGACACTGCTCATTGATGTAAAATTCCATGCAGGGCAAGCAGATTTGCATCTTCACAGATGTATTGTATGCATATCTCAGACAAATAAATTTGGTGACAAAAAGCAAGCTCTATTGTGCATGGACTGCCATGTGTCAACCCGTTACATAAAGGTCCACCCAAGTACCCTGCTTCCCTCTGGGGACCCAGGTTCCCCTTTAGCCAATTTTCCTTCAATACATGGATTACATGGGTTTTTACCACATTGAGTATAAATGCCATCCAATCCTAGAGATGTGCAAATCTGAACAGAAATGGGACTTTTTTAATTAAATGTAATGGGGTTACATTAGCTGGTAACAATATATAAATTTCACGTGTACGACTTTATGATGTGACATCTGCATATTCTATTGTGTCCTCTCCCTCTGAAGTCTAGTCTCCTTCTATCACCATGAATTTGACCCCCTTTACCTGCCTTATCCTCCCCCAAACCCACTTGCCCTCTGATACCCACCATTCTTTCATCTGTATCCATGGCCTCATTTTTGTTTGTTCATTTTTGCTTTTTGCTTTATATCCCATATGTGAGTGAAATTACATGGTTCTTGACCTTTCTACCTGGCTTATTTCAGAAACTGGAAAATTAAGTTAAACTTATTGATATTACATGAGAAAAACACGTAAGTAAAGGAGTGCTGTCAAGAATTAATAACTAGCCCAGTCACTGTTGCTCATTGGTTGAGCGTCAACCTATGAACCAGGAGGTCACAGTTGGGTTCCAGGCCAGTCACATGCCTGGGTTGCAGGCTCAACCCCAGTAGGGCATGTGCAAAAGAAAGTGGATCAATAATTCCCTCTCATAGTTCATGTTGCTATCTCTCTCCCTCTCCTTTCCTCTCTCCGAAATCAATAAAAATCAAATGAGTAAAAATTACTTTAAAAAAAAGAATTGATAACTAGTTTTCTTTAATTGGAGTTCAACAAACTTAAATGAATATGCAGATATGCCCACAGCAGTTTTGGAATCAAGAGGGTGAGGCCTCCAGTCTTTTGCTCACTAGATCCAGGTGCATGTCCTGCCAGTGCTAGCAAAGGTGCTTCTCGCATCAAAGGTGCCCACTGTTCCATAGTGTGGACTGGACCAAAGGCTGTGATGACTTGCCAATGGGCAGAAATCCCTCCTGCTCGTGGTGCACAAACAAACCAGGCAGATGGGTTGACAGGATCAAAATGCATCAGAACTACTGAAGGACTCAGGGGTACTTGACCACAGCCGAGCTCCATGCTTTCCATGTGATGGTGACAACAGTCTCTCCATCAAGCATATCCAGCTCGTGGCCCACAGGCCGCACGCCTTGTTTATTTGGCCCGTGTTGGCCTTTGAGTTTGACACGCTTGCTCTACATGGCAGCTTGAGGAAGATCACAGCAAGACTCATTATCAATTTTTATTTCCTACCATACACCAAATGTACAGCACTGAACACAATTTTGTTGCTTTGATGTAAGAAATATTAATTGTTTGAAGAAACAGTATACAAACTACTCGAAATTAAAAAAATGCATACACCATTGTCCTTTTGTTGTTTACAAAAGACCCAATTTACAGTATCGATCAACATAGTTGAAAGGAAAATAAATTCAGTGCAAATTACAAAACATGTCAAGTACAAAGGCGGCAAATAAATACAAATATACTTCATAAAACATACTGCTCAAACTATGCAAACAAATAAATTATTAACTCGGAAGTCATAGTAAATTATAGTAATAAATACATAGGCTGATAAGAAATTTCTTTTAAATTAAATAAAATATATAACAAAGTTGTTAAAATATTTAGCAAATTAAGATTTGTCTTTGTAATAAGTGAACTCATTTGTATGCATCTATCAAGTACTCTAGAGCAAACTGTTTGCAGTACATAACTTTAATAGAAAATTTTGTTTGGTGTCCCATTTATAATAGACAGCACATATGGTAGCTCTTTTTCTTTATAAATTGATTTTTAAATAAACACCATTCCTACCTAAGAACAGACATCTCATTGTCACTAAACTAAATCCAAGAGTTCAAATGAACCCCAAACCAAAGAGAAGCCCCATTTAATACATAACAATGACCACAGTGGCATGGAAGTGGAATCACTGTCGATATTACTCTTAGTTTGTGCAGGTAACAGTAATAACAGTGGAATATATCAAGCCTGTGAGTGCCATCACATTCAACCTACCTACCCATGAGGCTAATAGAAAATAAACACTTTTGTTATAGAACAGAAGCTTAAGCCCACACTAACTTCAAGTGTCCATTTACACGGAGGCACATTGCACACGAGGTGTGTGTGCACACCAGAAAGGCAGTTTAGCTGGTTGTCTATACCTTTTCTTTAAAAAAAATAAATATAAAAAAACTTTTGAAACAATGCTTAACTACTTTACAATCCCTGAAATAGACATTGCCTTTACTATAGCAACTACTAAACTCTGAATTTATGCAGAAAGTCAAGATTTCGGGCTCAATTTTATGTGTGTGTGAGTGTAGGCGAGTGTGTCTGTGTGGGGGTGTGCCTGTGTGTTGAGTGTGTTTACTCAGCAGCACTTGTAGTTGTTCAGAAAAATAAGTGATCGAATTGAAAGTTTTATTGTTGCCTAAAGTAATTGCTCAGATTGGAGTAACATTTTTTTTTTCTCCATGTGTTACTATAGTTTTCCATTCCTTTCTGTCAACCAAGTAAGATAAATGCTATTTCAGGGGATATATGGTATCTACAAAATTTTCCATTCGGATGTGTTTGTATCTGCTAAGTACAAATCTACATCAATATTGTCACTTGTATATTGTACCAACATATGGCAGGGAAGCCTGGCTGGTCACATCAAGTCCTATTTCTCGTCTTGGGATAAGAGTTGCCAACTATCTGATATGACTTGAAAAACAAACAGACAAATCTGCACCACTAAAAAAAAAAGCTCATGTTTCTTTAAAACATTTCAGATAAATAATTCATGTTTACCAAAACCATACAGCCAAGTCGAGTAATTTGCTGATTTCTATATTTAATTATTGCTAACCAATTCTGAACGGGCTTCTCCAGTACCTGTGCTTCTGTGAGAGCGCACTGCCCACTAGGGGACGCCATTTATCTTCTTCCTTTCATGCTTCTCACCATACCACAAGCCCACTTACAAATGCAAAAGCCAGGGGGGGGGAGGGGGGAAGAGTGTAATAAAAGTCAAACTGGGGCACAGTGCAATCCTTAGACAAAGATTTCCTTCAGACTTTTTTGTTTGTTTGTTTTTTCTCATGTAAGCCCAGCAAGGTATGTGATTTGAGACTAGCATTTCTATTTAAATTCCATTGGAAGAAAGAAACACGCTTGTAAAAAATATGGCAGACTTCAAAATGCAGTTAAAAGATTTAAAAAAAAAACCTCTTTGATTAGAAAAGAATAAAATATTAAAAGGTCACACATTACTTTACATATACTTTACAAAGAAAAAAAAATTCCAAAGAGTGCCATGAGGAAATAAAAGAAAATACATATGAAAATAAATACCATCTAATATTTGACAGCGTTGCTTTTCATCCATAGAGTCTAGTAAGGGTTTTTCTTTCTTTCCTTTTTATGTCAGCTGGGGAGGAGAGTAGTGCAAGGTTGCAGCTGTAAATGCAGCGCAGGTGCCCGGTGCACCGGTGTGGCTGCCAAGGGTGATCCCTGGTGCCCACCCGCTGCACTCCTACACGTGGATGCCCTTCACCGCCTGTTTGATGCTCTCTAGCAGCGCTTTGCATTCCGGGGAATAGTCCCGTTCCAGGTTGCTGTACATGTCTGTGAGGGTATTTACATACGCTTCGAAATTCTGCTCACTGATAGGCCCCTAGATGAAGACAAAACACAGGGAACCAATCACAGGGGTCCAGGCGGAGGCGAAAAGGGGACCAAAGGGCACGGCAGCCTGCAGGGACTCTGAGTCCGGGAAGGAAGGGAAGGATGCCCGCGACTGCTTGTGTGAAAATTTAGTGTGACTGACCCTAAAACTCGCCATCAGAGTACCTTATAGGATAACTATGCAAAGTACAAGTTATCTTGTAGGGTGATGATTATTTTAGTGGCACTGATAAGGAAAAAAAATGTTAAGGAACATGTTGGAAGTATGAGTTAAACAAACATTAATAAATAATATTAAATAATGTTCGATAATTACCTCAACACTGACCACAAAGTAATCATTTGGTTTCCTTTGTGTTTTATAGTATTACATTATTGATTTTTTTTTAATTGTCAAGAGACAGATTTGGAATTTGGGTAACTTGAGGGACTTGTTTTCAGAAAATATTATATTTCTCTTATTAAATTGCTGCTTCTTTAAAACATCCTATATATAAAGTTTGCAGCATTAGAAAACTCATTCTAAAAATGGATACTGTGAGGAAATTAAAAGCATTCAACAATGCAGCCCCCCTTGCCAATGTTTATTATATTTATGAAAATGTAAAGGAAACGAGTTTCCTATACATTTTAAATAGTTGCTGTGCTTCAAATACTGTGTTTAGATTTGGGAAATATCACTTTTTCCATTCTATACGAAGATGGCTTAAGTATGGCCTTCATTCTTAGCACAAAGACACCATCAGGTTAGATTCTTTCCTACAATTCTTAAATGGGGTGGATGCCACAAAAGGCTGCCTCTCAGACTGTGCAAGCCACATAAGCTTGTAAAGCTTTTTTTTATTTGGAGAAACAATTTTAGCCTGAGAGTTTTGGCCTCCAACTTTCATATTACATTATAAAACAAGTTTCAAATAGACCTTCACCTTTAAATGACTTCTACAGTATCAAAGACCCTTGGCCTTAATGTAATTTAAGTGTATGAATCTCCAAATGAAGGAGGTCATTGCAAAGTCACCCATGATGAAGCATGACACCTCGGTGACTGCTGACAGGTCTCCTCAAAGCCCGGTGCTTCTGGCTGGCTGCCCTGGTGGTGACTGGCACTGACCTGCAAACCCTGGGGATGGGGCGGCCACGCCCTGGCCTTGGACTCACCATCTGCGGGAGCTGGATGTCGGCGAGGCTTGAAATGAGAGCCTGGCTTAGGCCTGCCAGCTCCTTCAGGAGGCTTTCGTTACTCTGTTCGATCAGCTTGTTCTCCGCCTCTATTGTCTTCAAATTGCTCTCCATCGATGTGATCTGCAATGGAAATGACTTGAAAATATAAGGAGTGGAGTTTGGAAGGAGTACAACATGTTTCTCTTCGAAGGGAATGCACTGGCTGACCCTCAAAGCCCAGGAACGCCTCCCCTGTAACTTCTCTTCACAAATCAGCAACCCCATCAACAGTGCTAAAGTTTGAAATGGCCTTCCCAAATGTATGTCGTCGGCCCAGACTTCCCCCGCGCCTCCACATGGCTATAGGATGGATAGCTCAAGCTCTGTGTGTTTCCCCCAGCCACTCCATGTACTACAGTCTTCTCCTTCCCGGGAGTAGCAACTAGAGCACTGCTCAGGCCTTCCTTCACGTGATCCCTGATGGCTCTTTCTCTCTCCCTCTAACTCCCCTGGGCTCCTCCTTCAGGACATCCAGGATGGGACGACAGTCCCCATCTTCACCGCTGTCTCCTGGGCCAAGCGCCAGAGTGACTGGCTGCCTTCTCACGGGGGCCCTGGGTGTGGCCTTGCCCCCTGCAGTGGATTCTTTTGGTCCATCTCCCACACAGCTACCAACACAGGTTTCTTCTGGTTCAAAACCCTAAAATGTTCTGTGTTCATTCAGAATAAAAACCAAGTCCTTAGAATGGCCTCAGACACTCCTGTCCAACCCTCGGACTAGTCTCCTTTATCTCCCACATCACTCACCTGCTAGTTTTCAAAACTCTGCTTTCTCTGAACTTAGTGTTTTGGTAAGCTGCTTTCACTCTTTGAAATACTCCCCCTGAGGCCCCGCCCCCCATACTTGTTTGGCAAATTCCCGCAATTCCCGAAGTCTTTGCTAAAATGATTCCTTCTTGATGCCTAGCCTGGCTCTCCTGTTTTATATTGAAATCTGGTTGCCTCTCCCCACCTCTTTTCCCATACAACAATTTATTTTTTTCTCTCTCTCTCTCTTTCTTTCTTTCTCTCTTTCTTTCTTTCTTTCTTTTTTTCTTTCTTCCTTTCTTCCTTTCTTACTTTCTTCCTTTCTTCCTTTCTCTTTCTTTTTTTCTTCCTTCCTTTCTTTCTTTCCTTTCTCCCTCCCTCCCTCTTTCCCTCCCTTCTCTGTCTCTCTCTCTCTCTCTCTCTCTCTCTTATTATTGCTTTCAGAGTGGAAGGGAGAGGGAGAGGGAGATAGAAACATCAATGATGAGAGAGAACCATTGATTGGCTGCCTCCTGCACACCCCACATTGGGGATCAAGCCCACAGCCTGGGCATGTGCCCTGACCAAGAATGGAACCATGACCTCCTGGCTCATAGGTCAATGTTCAACCACTGAGCCATGCCAGCCAGGTCAAACAATTTTTTATTTATGATTGTTTATGTTATTGTCGGCCTCCCCCTTCTAGACCTGAAGCTCCCTGAGGGCAGAAGCCTATGTTGTCTTTGCTAATGATTGTAGGAGGAGTTGTAAATGAGCTTTTTCATTATTCAGTGGAAGATCGTGGCATGGTTCACGTTACGCTGGGCCAGGGAAGCAAACCTACTCCCAGGTGGACTTAAACCTTCTGTCTTACACTGCTGGCAATGACTTCTGGGAGTCAGTAACCACAGTGGTCTACAAACCCTACATTGCAGGAGAGGAGAGAAGGGAGAAAGATACGTACTTTTTGCAATAGAGTTATTATTTAGTGTGCTAAAAAAAAAAAATTCTGGACTACATTTCTAGTTTCCATTTGGATAAATCTAGGCAGGGATGGGGCAGACATTACAAAGGAGAATGCAGAGTTAAGACATTGCTCGCGATTTTTGGTAAAGAAGCTACACAGGAAACTCTCCAAAAAGATCTGTCTTTAACAAAAATGGACACATTCAGAGGTGTCATAGAAAACTGAATGTGAAAAGTTGCCCTGTTTTACTTACATTTTTTTAATAAAACTAAGTACTCAGATCTTCTCGTATACAATTTCTCTAAAGCACCATATACAATTGCTCTAAAGGACTCTACAAGTTCAGGATGAGAACCTGCTCATGAAGCCTTTGATGCCCCCAAAACAGAAAAATGAATACCTTTGCCTTCAGCTACCAAATCAATGCTGGCCCAAGTGACCCACTTACTCTCGTATTTACAATAATTATGTAATCTAGACATGCTTAGCATATTCATTATAAGATATCAGTGTGTAGGTTTTTGTGTTTTTGTTTTTTTTTATCACAAAGTTTAGCAGTTCCATGTTTTGCCTCCACTAAAGAGTATGATTACCAGGAAGATACCTTTCTGGTCCTTTACCTGCGTCTGAAGTTTCATCATATCTGCTTCAATCTTAAGGTTGGATTCGTTCAATTCCTTTATCTCTTCATCCAAATGCCTAATTTCTTCATCACTCTCTATACCTGCAGAGAATCAGACTCCCTTAGTGTACACTGGAATTACGAGACCGATAAATCTCAGTCACTTTACATTTAGTTTGTGGTGTGTGAAGTGGAAAGCAGACTTCAGTGTGAGATGTTGAATTTGTCTCCACATCCATGTTCAGGATTCTAAAATGAGAGGAAAATGGAGTTGGAGGGTTTAAATCCCATGTAAGAAAAAGAAGGGCGGTAAAAGCACGACTGTTCCATGTTGCCATTACACTGCAGGTGAGATGCGAGACACGTTGGTGTTCGTGTTTTCTCATTTCAGCTTCACTGCCCACTGGGAGTCGTGTTCCATGGTACCTTTCTCAAACATGAAGACGTTGAGCCTTAAGCTGAGTGAAGCCATCCTCATCACTGACAGGAGAGAGAGCCTGCCCAGGCCCTAACTGGTTTGGCTCAATGGATAGAGGGTCAGCCTGTGGACTCAAGGGTCCCACGTTCAATTTCGGTCAAGGGCATGTACCTTGGTTGCGGGCACATCCCCAGTAGGGAGTGTGCAGGAGGCAGCAGATTGATGTTTCCAACTATCCTTTTCCCTTCCTCTCTGTAAAAAAAATCATATATATATATATTTTTTTTTTAATTTAATTTTTTTTTTTAAAGAGAACCTGCCCAAGTCCAAAGTCAGAGGCAGAGGAGGGCTGAATTCCAAAGGTCATGCATCCTCTCGTGCACAGCACTGTAGAGGCTATGAAGATCCAGTTATGCTGGTTAATTAATGCCCCATTACACAGGGTGCTGGCAGGCGGGTACAAGTCCAGGGACACAGAATTTGGGTTCTCACCATGGGCCTGGGTTGGGAGCAAATGCAACCTAGAAGAAACATGTGCTTTGCCCGTAATTCTTGTTCTTAAACTTGGGAAACTCAGCTCTTTAAGCTTCCTTGTCTGTAAAAGAGGCATACAATCTACATTGTGAGAATTAATGCAAAATAATATAGAGAGAGTGCTGAACACAGAGTAAACTGTCAATGAACAGGCATCCCTTTCCCATCACTACTTTATAGAAGGAATATCAATGTATTGTATAAGGTTTTAAAAGGTGGGATAGGTAGTGGATAGGAAGGAAGCCGGAAGCAGGATTGAAGGTCATCCCAACAATCCATAGTGATGAATCTAAAGCAAACAGATGGCCATTAAGAGAGACACATGTGAACTTTCACTTTAGATTGAATAAGAACAATTTCATGAGAGCAGGATGAGGACTTGACAATTGGTTTGGAGATGCAGGCTCTTCCACTTTCCCGGGGTCACTGCTGTGGAACACAGCTCGTTATCTGCTGTAGGTGAGCCTTACATACACTGTGATCCAGCCATTTCAGCCCCAGGGACACACCAGAGATAAGCATCTGCATGTGTCTGAGGGGAGGCGGCACAAGTGCATGCAGCATACTGTTACAGAGGTCCGACCTGGAAAGGAGCCACATGCTCCCCGGAAACAACATGGATGACTCTTACTCATGTAATGTTACGAGAGAAAAAATAAGCCTGGAAAACGTACAAGCGGTGTGATACATTGGGTGGCTGTTTTGTAGGTACTTACTATTTTATTATAAGCAAAACTACCTATACACAATGGGCCATTCGTGGACCAGTGGAGGGAGTGTGATAAATGCTTAACACTGGGCTCTGAGATTCGATAAAGAATAAAAGCAAACTCACCAGCTTAGATCTCGGTATTTCAGTATCTGAATGAGCTTGCATGTGAGTAACAGGACGATGCAGTCATTAAGAAAAGATAAAACAATCACCCATGACCTCCCTGACGGCACTATCTGGGACACGGGGCTCATTCCGCACTGGCCTGCAGCATCTGGAGAAGCGTGCTGCACCGTCAGCACCGTGTCTTACTGGCTGATGTGCTGGTAGAGGAATCTTTTCCCAGGCCACAGGGATTAAAATATGTGTTTTCAACAACTTTCTGGAGCATAGATTTTTCAATTAAACAAGTGTTTTGAGCAAATGAAAACTTCTATTGCTATGTTTCTTTTATATACAGTATATTGTGGTGGTTTTTTCTTTATGTCTCTTTAGAGTCAACTTCCTTTTCAAGGAATGGCATCTTCGATTGGTGTAGCTCAGTAGTTGAGTGTCAACCCAGGAAGCAAGAGGTCACCGGTTCAATTCCAGGTCAGGGCACATGCCAGGTGGTGGGCTCGATCCCCAGTAGGGGATGTGCAGGAGGCAGCTGATTGATGTCTCTTTCTCACTGATTTTAATATCTCCATCCCTCCCCCTTTCTCTCTCTCTAAAATCAATAAAAACAGGCTTTTTACTAGAACACAGTGTACATGTTCTGTACCCAAAGCTACCTACACACAATGGGCCATTCAGATTGGCCAGAGTCAGAGAGGTGGTCTATTAAAAAAAGAACTGGTGTTGCCTCGGAAGTGGGGGGTAATCTTATACAGCGAATATAGGCCTAAACCTATGTTTTAGCTGTAAAATTAGGGGGTCGTCTTATACACCGGAAAATACGGTATTGTTTTGAAATAAACATTTTACTTTTAGTTCAAATGTGAGAAAAGCTTTAGTGTATATTAAAATTACAATTCCCAAATGAAGTATAATTTGGCATGTGGAACCCTGTGACCTGGACCTCCATGGAGATGTTGACCCTGACCATGAACTCTTACCTCCTGTTGCTTTGAGCTTGATAGTCATTAGTTCTTCCGAAACCTTGCCCTTTTTGATAGCTTGTGCATTTAAAGGACATCCAGATAAGCTGTGAAAATATGAATATGCTGATGTGTGAAACATATTATTTCATATAAAGATTAAAATTTTTATTCACTATTTACTATTTAAGTGTTTGCCTGCCTATTAATGACATAATAACATGCAGCCCCTTTGTAGAAAGTAACAATATCTATAAAAATAAAAGCAAAATGCCCTGAAAAGATGTAAAATATTTTGTGTGGGGGTTTTTCAATAAAAATACAAATAGCTACTGCTGATACCATTTAATTAATGTTATCAAATTATTTCTACTCTGCATTCATGTAAGTGCCTTTCTTTAGTAGTGGTTACTTTATTTCCTGTAAACATGAAATGGTACATACATTATTAATAAGAATTGTCCCAAATTAGTCAAACTTCCATGAATAATAAAGTAGAATCTAGTTCTTTCCATCTTTATACATACTATATTGCCTGACCTGTACAGAATGTTTCCAATTATTACAAAATAATAACCCTCCTACCCCAGGCAATTGGGTATGGGAAAGTTTTTAACTTATTCTTTAACTTTTAAACCATTATTAGTCATTCAAAAAAAGCTCTACCTTGAAAGGAAAATAAAAGGAACCACTATAAATATTTTCAGACACAATCACTGCCCAGGCAACACATCACCTATAGTGTTTATACTCTGTTCCTTATTTTCAGAATGCAGCAGTACTTTCGTTAATGTACCTGCTATATTTAAATTGCACCAAGAGGATAATAACATTGAACAAAGCTTGTATTCCATGATACATAATCAGATGATTTTGTTGTTTTAAACACCTATTAATCCTTTTATAATTTTGTTGTGTTTTTGGATATACAATTTTTAAATAAAGTTAAAGATGATCACAGTCATTGAAAATATTTTCCCACAGAAATGTGACTATAATCCATGTATGAAACAATTCTTTTCGATCCAAAGGTTAGGACACTTGGCCAAGTGAAAAAAAATACTATGTCTGAAGCAAAGTAAAAGTTTGCTGAATGAGTGTATTTTTAAAGAACTCTGCATCATTGTGTGAAGATTATATAAAATGTAAAAGTTAAATATGTAATATTATACATAAAAAGGATCGTGTGATTTGCCAAAAATTGATAAATTATGTAAAATAATGAAAAAGCACAAACTGAATTTGCACCTGATTTTTTTATTTTAGAAGTTTCTCATTGTAAAGTGCAGCCTACCTAAGCTTCCTCATCTGTTTTTCTGGAACGTTTTCACAAATCTGTCTTGTTTCATGGCACATATTGTTCTCAGAAAATGGCCATGAAGAGGACTAATACCTTGTTGCTAAGTTCGGTTTTTAAAGTGACCCATCAGAGTCCGTGTGTGAAGGTCTGGACACTCACAGCTCATTCCTCTCTCTGTCTCCCCTAAAGGATCTGCGTGGCTCAGACAGCCCGGCAGTGAGCGTCCAGCTGTAACTCACTGGTGTGGCAAGTGCCAGCAGTGTGACTGGGAACCAAAGAGTCTATTTAAGATCTGAAAGAAGGGCTCTGATTTCTAAATAGCTGCTTGACATTTTGTATCACCCAATGCAGTTCACCTTTCAGAATATAAAGCAGATCCTGCATTTAAAACACTGGGTGGAAAAATATTTATTTTAAAAGTCCTCCTTCTTTTGAGGATGCCCTCCAGGCGGTTCCGTGTCGCTGGCTGAGAAAGGTGGCGGTTGGCTGGGACACGTCCCTGCTAGGATTTGGGCTCCATAATGCAAATGGCTGGGAAAGTGTGCCTGAAATGGTTTTGATCAAATTTTAAATTCTATTAAGACATATCAAGGCAATTTTGAACCATCCTATCTTCATCTGCCTTGTTAAAATAAAACGGCAAGTGATAAAATTTATGTAGTGGACATCACTGTTTCTAATAGATTAATGAACCTCATAAAATTACAAAGTGATGGCCTAGCACTGAGTTCTATTAGTCACAGAAATTCTGTTTGAACAGCTGCATACAACCACAATCATGTGCCTGTGTGCTTGTGTCTTTGTATTTTAATGTCCTAGTTGTCTTCAGGTTGCTATTTCTTTTCTTCTTTCTTTTTTCTAATTCGAGAAAAATGGTTTTAAATATAATAATGTTACCTGCAATAAACATTAATATTTCAAGGGAAAAAAATATTTTCAATATTGTTTCTTTTGTTGTTGTTAATCCTCACCCATTGATTCTTAGGGAGAGTGGGAGAGAGGGGGGAAGACAGAGAGAAACACTGACGTGAGAGAACCACAATGATTGGGTGCCTCCTGCCCGAGCCCTGACCAGAGCTGGGCCAGGGAGGAGCCTGCAACCAAGGTACGTGCCCTTGTACCAAAATCGAACCCGGGACCCTTTGTAGGCCGACACCCTATCCATTGAACTAAACCAGTTGGGGCCAGATTGCTATTTCTCAAATGGAAGCTTATAATGTAAAGATTTAAAGCAAGCTTTTAAAGCAATTGGCATGTAAATATAACGCTGATTTAACATAGAGATGGAATATTTTTTAACTGTTGTTAACAGCGCTCACCCAAGGAGGCTGGCATCCCAGTGCTGTCTGCAGGGGCAACTTCGGGACATCCCTGTGCTCATGTCCTTTATGCCCATGGACGATCATTACAGCACCCTGTATCTTGCAGGGATGTGTGGAGGTTTGAGAAATCAAACCATGAACGTTACTTAGCACAGTGCTTTCTGCGGGAACACAGAGAGCCCGAGCTGGTGATTGCCAGCTGCCTTTGGTGATTGGAAAGAGTCCTGAACTTTAGGTTCAGAATCCATTGCATGTAAATGCCTATGGCAGGTCAGAATGTGCTATTCCAGTTTAAGTCATTCTCACTTTTAAAAAAATATTGTGTCATATGTGTGTTGATGTAATGTTTATAAAAGAGAAAGAAGATAGTCTGCATTGAACACCTGTGGGTGTACCAGGAGAAGCTGGCCTTTTTTTCTTATATTATTCCATTAAATAATATGCACATATACACATATATAAGGAAGAAAAGCATTCAGCATTCAAGAAATGCAGTCTCTGGGATCTTGTGAGGAACAAGAGAGATCTCCAGTGAAGAGCAGTGAGATCTGAGTTACTCATTTGCCTAAATTCTTAATTGCTTTCCTTCTCCTTGAAAAACACTATCTGGTCATTAGTTTTGCATCCTGTATTTTCTTTGAACTCTTCATTTTGATGTTCATATTATGAAATACATCATGTGTACACGATGGGTCTGCAGTGTGAGGAATTCTCCTAAAACGAACACGGTTTTCCTTCCCACGGAGGAAAGCTCCTCGGCAGCTCCTTGAGCCCCTGCACCATTGCTGTCTGCTGGCCCCAGAGAAAACCACTAACTGGAATTATGGGGGAATCATTACCTCGATTTTTACAATGTAATGTTGCTACATTTTTAACTCTCTGTAATTGGAATCATACTGAACATGATTTCCAGCAGCAAATGTTTCCCACTCAGCATTGGGCTCTATAAAAGTCCCCTGCACTGTGCCTTCATTTTCACCCTGCATGGCAGTCCCTGTGTACTAGGACAGACACTGATCCCTCATGCCCTCGGCGGCCAGTGGGCAGGCAGGTCGCCTCCAGCTTGGAGTTGGTAGAGCAATGCCATGGCAGACGTTCTCAGACGTGTCTCTGAGCTGCACCGTGCAGGAACCTTCAGGGGCATCACCCAACAGCTCAGAGGCTGGGCAGCAGGCCTGTTCGCCTGCTCTTTTTCAACTTGACTCCTGAAGGCCACTCACTTCCTGGCATGGCTTTCCCCACTACTCTTCCACTTGCAGCTGTATGAGAATCCCGTGGTCCTCAGCTCACCTTGGTGTCGTCTAAAGCTTCTTTATGGTTTTAAAGCTACCTCTGTTGCCCTAGCCAGTTTGGCTCATAGTTAGAGTGTTGGCCTGTGGACTGAAAGGTCCCAGATTCGATTCTAGTCAAGGGCACATGCCTGGGTTATGGGCTCCATCCCCGGTGGGGGTATGCAGGAGGCAGCTGATCAATGATCCTCTCTCATCATTGATGTTTCTCTCTCTTCCTCTCCCTCTCCCTCTTCCTCTCCCTCTCCCTCTCCCTCTCTCTTCCTCTCTGAAATCAATAAAAACTATATTTTTTTAAAGCTACCTTTTGCTGCTGACTGAGGGGTGCGCTCACCATAGCATAGCAGTAACATTTCATTATCAGTGTGAACGTGGCTGTTGCTCAGTCCGTGATAAGAAAGTTAATAGTGATAGTAGGCACACTTGATTTGCCACTGCCATTTCTGACTATGGGACGGTGATTCCAACAACTCAGAATAAAACAGTTTGTACTACTAGGGAAGAGACGAGGCATTTGAAAACCATCAAAAAATAAATGATTTAAAAGTTCAGGTTTTCTCCGTAAGCAGGTGTCACTGCAGATCCTCTTAAATGAGCGATTCCTGGAAGGTTTCACTTTTCTGATTCCATTGATACGCAGCTTTAAAACGGAACAAAATGTTAAAATGGCCCGCATTCTGCTCCTAAGCAAAGCAGCGGGCTCACTGGAGCTTCGTTTGATAAGAAACCTGTATCCCATGCCCAGGCTGCGAGGCTGGGAAGGAGCGTGCAGGGAACCTGCCTTTAGGCAGAGTGTGGTCACTGTGCCCGCACGATCTCTGTTTAATGTGTGACACTCGGTGACAAAGGAAGGACATCACTGTGAAACCATAAAGGCTTTTCCAAATCGCTCTCATCCTGTCACACACTCAGTAGTCACTGCGTTCTCCTCTTTCTGGCTGCTGGGGGTGAGTCCCATCTTCCCAGCAGAAAAAAATAACTACAACTTGGCCTGAAATTGTGCCAGTTCATGAGAGGCAGGGAATGGCGGAACTATGCAGAGTGAAAGTTTGCAATGACACAGCATAATCCAGTAGATATTACCTCTTGGGACTAAAATAAACCATTAAAAGACTGAACCATTAAAGAAAAATAGCAGCATAAGCAATATTTCAGCATACAAAGGACAAAGGCGCCATTGCTGGAATCACTTGTACGTCGTGCAGCCAATGTTCAGAAACAGGGAAAATGGGTTTGATGCTTCAAGCCAGTCAACGCTCTGCAACACTCATTGTCATCACATCTCAAACGCTCTGCCCTGTAACCCTAAAGAGGGCTCCCCGACCCCCAACGCCCCCCCCACCCTTACCCCCACCCCCAGGTGACAAATAATCACAACAACAGACAGAAAGAGAGTAAAGGTTACCTTCTGTGGGTGACAAACACATTATTTACATGGCCCAGCCCATTGCAGCCCGGCAGGGGACAGTGTGGAAGTTCTTGTTTGTTCAGTTTCCAGGAGAGGGGGGCCCCATGGAGAGGGTTCTCCTTCTGTCTCTTGGCAGCCAGGGGACAGCCAGAAGCTGTGCGGTGGGAGGTGTATTTACCTGATATGTGACCTTGGCCGTCACACCCTATCACAGCACATCTAGAGGGACACAGCAGAGAGGTTACCAGCCGGGAGAGAACGGACAACTCACAAGACATGCAGTAACTGAGTGACCAAGAAGGGAGAGGCGGTTCCTCACTACCCGGCAGGCAAACGGGGAGATTATAGACTGAAAGACGCCGATGCAACTAGCAAAACCCCGTGGTTCTAGCAGGGCCAACGCCCACGGGCCCTGGGCTCCGCAGTTTTCACGCATTACCTCCCGTAATCTTCACTGAAAATCTAATGGGCAGAGAGTGTAATCATCCCATTTTACAGGTGGGGGAAATGAGGCTACTAAAGCTTCGGAAACTCGTCATCCATTTTACAAGAAGTGGAGTCAAGTTCAGACGCACCCTCGTTAGCCCTAACCAACCAGGTAAGCCCTGTGTTACCCTGCCTGCAAAATGTTAACGACCTTGTCCTACATCACATAGCTCACGGCTCATAGAACTGGAATTCCAGTGTCCAAATACCTATTATTCTTAGAAACGCTAGCAAACAATTTAAAATTCTACATCTAGCCCAGCTGGTGTGGCTCGGCGGTTGAGCATCAACCTAGGAACCAGAAGGTCATGGTTCGATTCCCGGTTAGGGCACATGCCCCGGGTTACGGGCTTGATCCACACTGTGCAACGTGTAGAAGGCAGCCGATCAATGATTTCTCTCATCACTGATGTTTCTATATCTCTCTCTCCCTCTCCCTTCCTCTCTGAAATCAATTAATTTTTTTTTAATTTCTATATCTCTATTTTTATATGTCATCCTAGCCTTGGTAACCTATGTCTCAGAAGAGGAAATTTAATTTACATAAAAGTTCGCCTTAAGCCGGGACCGGTTTGGCTCAATGGATAGAGCGTTGGCTTGGGGACTGAAGGGCCCCGGGTTCGATTCCGGTCAAGGGCATGTACCTTGGTTGCGGGCACATCCCCGGTAGGGGTTGTGCAAGAGGCAGCTGATCGATGACTCTCTCTCATTGATATTTCTAAACTATCTCTCTCCCTTCCTCTCTGTACAAAAATCAATAAAATATATATATAAAAAAAAGTTAGCCTTAAGCAAAATTAAAGATCCAGTGGGGGGGGGGGGAATGCTGCCGATTTGCTGTTCTGCAGTGCTTCCACAATGCTGTTTTCCTTTAACACAATTGCAAGAAGTATGGTCCTTCTCCTTCTAACTTTACTGTATCAACCCTCTGTGGAAACACTGCTATGAATGGAAAATGTTTCTCCAATATCCAAACACCGAGAGCTGCCTCCCGGATCGCTGTGCGTGAGATGCAATCAGCACCCACTGGCACCACAGCCGAGGTCCCGCCCATCGGACCCACAGGCTACTTGCCGCCTCCGCTGTCGCACTTACTTGAGTTCAGGTTCTTCTTTCTCTTCCTTCGTAGCAGTCATTTTGACGCCACTTTTCCTGGCACGAGGGCAGCCGGACAAACTAAAATATGCACCCAACAGAGAACAAACCGTGTCATCTCCATGGCCACTGCTGCTGGCACTGAGCTCATTTCTCAGAAATGGGTCCCTCCTACCTTCTGTGGGAAGCATAGTTTCCAGTCACGTGCCCCGAACCATCACAACCTGGGGTTGGACACCTGGAAAACACAGGAACAGAGCTCTGGCCGTGTGGCTGTGGTGGAGGGAGGGGGACCATGACACATGCACACAGACTCAACAGAATGAGCTGCTTTTGGGGGGCCCGTGTAGCTTACATAAAATTAGTTTTGGGCAAAAAAAAATCCATCTTAAACATATATTAAGTTATGCAACTCCTGTGTTAGGCTTGATAGACTGTTTTAGTTATCATACATTCTTTTATTTAAAATATATTTTTATTGATTTCAGAGAGGAAGGGAGAGGGAAGGATAGACAGAAACATCAATGATAAGAGGGAATCATCGATCCGCTGCCTCCTGCATGTCCCCCACTGGAGATTGAGCCCACAACCCAGGCATATGCCCTTGATCAAAATCGAACCTGGGACCCTTCACTGAGCCAAACCAGCCAGGGCCTATTTTAAAAAAAAAAAAAACTTTTTTTTTTTTTAAAGGAGCCTAAAATTTGACCCACAACTTAGTGCTGGGCTTCTGTCTATATCATGCAAAGTTCTCATCTTTCACTTAAGAAAAAACAGTCTTCCAAATTGGTTTAGGGCATAATTTGTTTTCTTTGATACGCTCCACTACCATAATAATCCACTGAGCTCAGGTGAACAACAGTGTTCCATGTGAATCCAGAGGCCTGGCACGGGAATATGGTTGCCAAAGGAGCGAAGGCATTGCACCTGGTCTGTTCTGCCTCATGGTCCAACTTAAATGGCCTTTTGGAAAATCTACCAATAACTACTACTGACAATCAGCTGTTAAATTTGGAATGAGAAGGGTAAAAGAGGGGGGAAACCCCAATTCTGCTCGAAGGCTAATTAGAATTCAGTTTCAAAATACACTTGAATACAGTTTATGCTGCTTCTCTCCCTTTTGCTTTTTTTTTTAAAAATGCCAAATGCTAATAGATACACGCCGACCGATATAAAAATTTTCTTGAAGAAATTATCTTTATTATTTCAGTTATATGGCTCAGATTTCTACCCAAACACAAGTTTTAGAAAAATAATAACCAAAAGGAAAATTTGAATATTTCCCCTTTTCTTAAACTTGAACCCACTGAACTTTCATGACAATGTTTTTACATTCAATCCTGAGGCAGAAAATAGGAGTAAATGCTTTTTCCAAATGAAATATAAAATCAGCATACATCTCTTTAAGCCAACCAGAGAAACCTGCATTGATTTTTTTTTATTTTTTACTTTTTTAACATGAAATTTATTGGGATGACCTTGATTAATAACATTATATCGGTTTCAAGTGTACAGTTCTATAATACATTGTCTGTATGCTGCATTGTGTGTTCACCACAAAAAGTCAAATCTCCTCCCATCACCATATATTCACCACTTCCTACCCTTCCTACCTTATTGTTGTCTGTGTCTATGAATTTTTGTTTGTCTTGTTTTCAGTTTTATAGCCTGCATATGAGTGAAATCATACTTTTGCATTGAGTCTTCAATCAACTTTTTTCATATATAATACCATTTATTTTGCAGGAAAGAGTTAAATGCTAGTTGTTGTTTTTTTCTATTAATGTTTTACTGGCTTAGTACCATATTGCAATTACAGAAAAATCTTTGTCAAGTGACCTTGCTTTGGAGTTCTTGAGTCTCTAAAGAAGAGGTTAATGAAGTGTCTCTTTTTCTTCTATGTACAGAGAAGATCCAAAATTGTTACTTAGTAGATGACCATATAAAACATAAGTACTGGAGATTGCTATAAGACCTGTCAACCTATATTTTTTCCCTAGAAATAACGTTTCGAGAAAATACTTAAGAGAACCTACAATCACTTTCAAGGCATGGCAATATGGAAGTTTAGAGCAATTCTATAAGATTGAATAGCTAAGTACTGAGTAAGATGAAATAAGAGTAAGTATGCCTAGCACTTCTCTTTTCAATCTCTTATTAGTTTTTAGTTAGCACTCTTACGTGTCAGTCTGTGGAAGTGGTAGTCAGTAAAACAATTTCCAAAATCTATACCAACACAATCTATTGTAGTTTACACTTTGAAAATGAGGAAAGTTGTATATTGTACAGTTCGCTTTACTTTTTCTGGTACTAAAATTCCAAGTGTTATATCTATTTAATATTCCATCTTTCCTCACAGACTTATTCTCTGTAATTTCAAGATAAAATTTTAGAACAATTTAGAAAATAGAAATACTAAAGACAATTGAGAACATTTAATGTCTGAAATTGTACCTGTTTAGATACCAAAAGTTGATTCTACTATTTATATAACTAGTGTTTTATCATTAAACTTAGTAACACTCATTTCTCCTAAAATATTATTATTTTCATGTAAAGTTTATTAATTTTGTTTAATATTATTTCTTTGTGTTTTTTTAAATGTATACCCTATTTTATTCTTAAAGGTTATAAGGAGGATAATTACTTTTAATTATTCTACATGTAATATAACAAAATATGAAAATAAACAAGTGAGAACTTTGTAATAAAAGAAGATAAGAGTCTAACTGAGTGGCTCCGTGGTTGGGTGTTGACCTATGAACTAGGAGCTCACTGGTCGACTTCCAGTCAGAGAACGTGCATCGGGTTGCAAGCTCAATCCATAGTAAGGGGCGTGCAGGAGGCAGCCAATCAATGATTCTCTCATAATTGATGTTTTTATCTCTCTCTCCCTCTCCCTTCCTCTCTGAAATAAATAAAAAATATGCTTTAAAAAAAAAAGATAAGAGTTTTAAGAATGGAGAAAATAAAATCAACATGTAAAAGTTAATATACGTATGACTTTGAGATTCTGTAAATGAGGTAAAAATGAGCCACATGTGTCTAGCACCCAAAAGTATTATAAAAGTCAGTCGGATGATTCAAAATGCCCATAAAGAAAAATATTATGCCATTTTCTTAAAATCAGATGATGGAAATTGTTTGCCACACCTTCAGAAGTCTGATTTGTTATATAAATTCTGAAGTTAACAGGGGGAACAAAAAAACATGTATTTTTATATTATTACATCACTGCTTTTAAAATTAATTATAAAAATCAAAACTCCCAAAGCAAGCAAAATAATTAACTGCTAGTGATTTGTCATTTGAACATTCTGGTTATAATTCACTGAGACAAATGAGTGACTTTTTATTGGACATTAGTGAACACACTGGTCCTGAGTGAGCAGAGTCCCAACACAGTGGGCACAAGGCACAGAGGTCATGCTTCCCACACTTACTTAAGCTCCTGAGAGTTAGCAGCCATGAGGGACTTAAGCGTCTTATCTGCTAAAGGACATCCAGAAACACTAAAATGGGGTGAGAAAAACAAAAACAAAACACAGAACACTGAATTACACAAATCTGCCTCAAATATCATCCTGAGTCTGGAAATATCTGTTATATTTTCTGGTGACTGGGGATTGGAAAAAAAATAATAATTAGACTTGAATCTGGCTTTGTTACTCTAAGCAGGTTGGGCTCATGGACACCTCCATTATTTCTGATAGACTTGGGTTTGCTCTTTATCAAACGAAGGGCTTTAACCCAGTGAGCTCGGCAATTCTAGAATGCAGTGATACAATCGTTACTGACAAGGAGTCCATTCCCGTAGCATCACCAAAGGATGGTGGCTCACGAGTTTCAATTGGCACCAAAGGACAAGCCAATCAATGAAGAAGGAAAGTGCAAAGATTAAGCAGAGCCTTTTGTCACTGCTTAACCTTTTTAACACCTCGACTTGTTATATACCCACGACTGGGAATACCACATCCATAGGTAAGTGGTCAATCCCAGTCACTCTGTTGTCTTACCTTTGTTTTATCTGAATCCTAAAGCCAGATACAACCAAAGCCCTGGCATAAACTCAAATAACTTTGTAGCCTGAACTACAGGAGCAGAAAACTATTTTTAACCAAAATCATGATATCTATACTACATAAGTGAGAAGACTAAAGATTTAACTTTTATTTATGAAAAACAAACCCCCACCCCCACAACACACACACACACACACACACACCAACCAACTTACTCTTAATTCATGATCAAGATATCATTCTAGAATGGGCGATAACTAATATTTAAGTCAGAACCAGATGATAAAACGAGGTACCTGCGATGGGATGCATAGTTTCCGGTGACGTGGCCACTTCCATCACATCCTGGAGTTGGACAGCTGGACCAACAGAAAATATATAATTAGCGTCAAGTCATTTTATTGCTTCATCTGCCTTGTCCGGTTCATTATGAGGTAGCTTCTCTTCTCAAGGTCAGTTAACATAGTATTTGGGACCTGCAGAAGCCAGTGAACTAAGGATCTGTGCTACTGAAGAACGAGTAGAGTAGTGAAAAGAACACTGGCACGCTCTTACCAGCTCTCAGCACCACATCCAATTCTCTGATTCAAATAATGCAGGAAGGCGATGCTAAAATATATAATATTTGTAGTGATGTTGTGAGTGAGTCCACAATCAATGATGTTTTATTTCTTTGAAAATATGGGTTATAAAAAATAAATATTGTAAACCCATGCTTTGCAATGATGGCGGCTCTTAGGAACAGCACCACCAATTATGTAACAGATTTCAGAAAGGGATTTTTGTAAGTTTTTAAGAGGCCAGGCAACAGAGTAATTTCATAAACATTTTTTAGATCATCTTAAAAAGAAAAAATCTTTGAAAATACTACACGTGACTGAAATATAAACTGACGTTAATAGTTGGACAAAGTTGCTGACAGTTCAGAAACAGGTAAGACTTTCACTCAAGTCTTGAACCCAACAAAGCAATTGCTAATTAAAAATAAACCTGAGCAATAGGCTCTCAGGGCATCTGGCAAAGATCAGAGTCTTGATTTTATCTCAGAAGCTAGTCACATTCTGAGCCTCTTCTATGTGTTTTAAAAATAAGCTAACTGGTGCATTATTCTGAGCAGTTTTGTGTCCAGCTACAGCATATGTAAACAAGTGAAGAAAAAATGAACAATGGCCAAGACCGGTTTGGCTCAATGGATAGAGCGTCAGCTTGGGGACTGAAGAGTCCCGGGTTTGATTCCGGTCAAGGGCATGTACCTTGGTTGCAGGCATATCCCCGGTGGGGGGTGTGCAGGAGGCAACTGATCGATAACTCTCTCTCATCGATGTTTCTAACTCTCTCTCCCTTCCTCTCTGTAAAAAATCAATAAAATATATTTTAAAAAATAAATTAATAAATAAATAAATAAATAAATAAATAAACAATGACTAACATTTGATCTGAGTTATCTTACAAGTAACATTCTCCCCCCACATGGAGAAATAATCTTTTCTGGACATTATACAAATGGTATATCAGAGAGTGAAAGATAAGTTATAATCTGTTAATTCCTACTTTGGAAATACATCTCCACCTACTGTTCAAAACAGCATTGCATTTACTTTACTTCTTATTTCTATTTTTAAATTACTACTGTTAGTACTGCGGAGGATAGGTAAAGAAGTACTAATAATTTTTAAACAAATCAGCTATAAATACTTAGTAAATATAATAATAAGTTGTGCACTGATATACTGATTAATTTTTATGTTTGGTGGTATGAAGAGGTTAAACAACAACAAAAAGAATTGGGGTCAGTGTTGTAGTGGGAAATGCTTATGTTTCAGATTCTAACAGCTAGCTTTCATTACAAATCTTAATTGAAAAATACTACACAATAACATTTGCCAGTATGCTGAGGAAGTTTGCAAGTGAAAGTACCAAAATCAGAGAGCAGAAACTAGCTAATGCCCTCAATAAGTGGCATTCCAACTCTAAGCAAATTGATGCTAATCAACAACACCAAAAATCCTATTTCAAACTACTTTTGGGAAGTAATTGAGGTACATTTATTTATGTGCTAGGAACATAAAACACAAGGAGGACAGGGTGGAACTGTAAAATAGTGAGACTTTCACAAAACCAGAATGTCAACCCATAAACATAAGGGGCACCCACTAACGCACTCACCGGTGTGTAAAGTGTGGTGAGAACCATGAGGTCTCTACATGAGTTCTAGGAACTCATAAATATATCCCAAAAGTTGTTCAAAATCTTTTCAAAACCTTCCTCGTCGGTGTACTTTCATACCGGTAAGAAGTGCCCATTAGAAGATAATCACACTTCATTTTTCTGTCTTTTGAGAATGTGATGAAAATGACGATCTGTCTGCCCCAAAAAGCAATTTGCATTAAGTGCGAAAAGGTTTGTAGACATCTAAAGCTGTGAAGGGTTTTCTGGAGTCGATGGATACCAAATTAAGAATTTCTGATCAAAACATAAACATTTCTATTGGCTTAATGGTGTTGTTTTTTTAAAGTTAGACTTTTCATTCTTTTAGCATAAGATCGTCAAGTAAATGGGTTGTATTGTTGGTGTTTCTTTTTACTTCATAATCCTCTTAGTTCTGTGCGTAGGTTTAGGTCCATATAGAATATCTAATGACTGACTGGTTGAAATTGCCCTAAAACATTCCTAAAATCAACTATATAAACCAAGATACTATTACTCAAAATATAAGACCTTGAGTACCTTATTCCCAGAGTCTCACAGACTATGTCATTTTGGATCACTTACGTGATTAGTTCTTTTTTGAGATCTCTTGTGTGGAGCTTGGGTTTAGGGCTTGGCATGGAAGCCTCTCCAGGAAACTTTTTTTCTTCCAAATTTTCTAGAGAGTTCACTGGGTCTTTCTGGAGAGAAAAAAAAAAGATAAAAAAAATCAGAAGCACAGAAGGCATTAGGGAACCCTGGAGAGACAGCTGTATTTGAAGTCTTCAGGGTCAAATGTGAGTTTTGGCTTAAAGACTTAGCTGAAATTCCTGTAGGATTTGTACACAAAATAAATAAGATAATGAGTATAAGGAATGAGAAATTATAATTCATGGGGATACCTTTAACATTTTCACATTTTGGCAAATATAATTACAGAGGCATTTGTTGAGCCAAATAATTAAGTTACTATTCTAATCAAGTTTAGGTTTTATTGTACAGTGAACATTTCCTAGAGCACATAGGGCTAGTTCTTTATGTCCACAGAAGTCATTGGTAAAACAGAGGAAATATTGCAAAAGTAAATCACAAAAAGTTAAATCTGAAAAGGAATAAGTAAATTTAAGTTAACAGAATGTTCTTTCTAATATACAAATAACTAAGATTTAAATTATTTAACTATATAATAACTGCCCAAGTTGGTTTGGCTCAGTGGATAGAGCACTGGCCTTTGGACCAAAGGGTCCAGGTTCAGTTACAGTCAGGGGCACAGACCTTGGTTGCAGGTTCCAACCAGTTAGGCCCTAACTGTTAGGACCTTGGTTGGGGCTTGGGCAGGAGGCAACACATCGATGTGTTTCTCTCACATCAATGTTTCTCTCTATCCCTCTCCTACCTTCCCTAAAAATCAATAGAAAAATATCCTTGGGTGAGGATTAACAAACTAACTAATTAATTAACTAATTAATTAATTAGTTAAGTTTTATTTTTCTGGATAATGACTTTAATTATTGCAGCACTTCCTGTTTTTTCTTAAGTTACCTTAGTTAATTGTTGTGGAGGTGTTTTTTATTTTATTGATTTTTTTTTTTTTTCAGAGAGGAAGGGAAAGGGATAGAGAGTTAGAAACATCGATGAGAGAGACATAGATCAGCTGCCTCCTGCACACCCACTACTGGGGATGTGCCCACAACCAAGGTACATGCCCTTGACGGGAACTGAACCTGGTACCTTTCAGTCTGCAAGCCAATACTCTATCCACTGGGCCAAACCAGTGGAAGTTTTGGATTTTTTTTTTTTTTTTTTTTTTTTTTGCTAAATTGGTATGCTTTTACTTATTGAATGGAATTTCTTGTTGGGTTATCACTAATTTTGTGACCTTCTTTTAAGCTTAATACTGATCTTTATTTCATAAGGCTCATTAATCCTTTCAAATCACTTATTTATCATCCGATATATTATGTTATAGGAAACTAATAGTCATTTTCCTCAATCACATAATTAGTTTATCATTTAGTTTATATCTGGTAAATATTTTCTGGATTTAATATTAAATTCAGGTGAACTAATATAGAAAACTGTATTCTAATTCTCAAAAGTACTGATCTAAATAAGGTGATAAAACAATTATAAATTTTTGAGGTAAATCTCACTTAAATCAAATGGATATAAAAGTGCAATGGTAAAATATAATAACCTGAGTCTACATTAAAAAAAACAATGGAAAAACAACATCCCTAAATATTTCTAACTAAAGAAAAATACTAAACCTTGATCTCAGTTATAAAGGCAAATGCAATTTATTTCATTAATTACTTAAATAACAATTCAATCAATTATTTTACACAAGACCATATAGTGTAACTACATTGGTAAACTATCCCATTATATTATCATCAGATAAAATTAATAAAACCTGTTTTGATATAATTTTTCTACATATTACTTATAGTGTTAAATATTCCATCTTATTTTATTTTTTAATATACTTTTATTGATTTCAGAGGGGAAAGGAGAGGGAGAGAGAGATAGAAACATCACTGATGTGAGAGAAGCATTACTCAGCTGTCTCCAGGACATACCACACTGGGGATTGAACCCGCAACCTGGGCATGTGCCCTTGATTTGAATTGAAGCCAGGACCCTGCAGTCCATAGGCTTGAGCCAAACCTGCCATGGATGTGCCAAACCCATCTTATTTTATTGATAAATGTTTGAAAATAGCATCAAAGAATAATATACTCTTGAAAATTAAAGAGAAATAGTTTCTTGATAATAATTGCCTAATAAGATACAACGAGAAGTGCTCTTTTAGTGGTTGCTTTCATGGAAGCAAATAGATGAATGATGGTTATACTTTTCAAGTTTTATAGTGTGAATGCCTAAAGTGAAGCAATTCCTGATTATAAGACGTAAAACCTGATAATACCACCGTCTATTCCATTTAATATTATCTTGATTCAGCCTGGCTAGTATTTTCTACTATACTTTATAAATGCCTTGGCTTTTGGAAAGCAGATACAAATGTTAAGTCTAGTAATAAGTCTCAATGTAAAAGAGTATTTGTTTTTCTGTATAGATATTAAAGTTCTCACAAAAATGGCATAAAAGTAAAAAGCCATCTTACTATTTTTTTATGATAAAAAACAAAGAATCTCTAAGAAGGTATGAACAGTTATATAGGTGAACATGTAAAGCTTATCAGCTGTTCAACTGCTGAATCTGTGCATTATAGAAAAGAAATAGGGGCCTTTGAAAGAAATGACCAGTTATGAAAGTTATTTGACTAAAATGAATACAAAATAATGCTTGCAGAATATATGATATTTTGTTTGATATGGTAATATATGGTGATGCTTTAATAAGACAATTTTACTGGGTATGACTTTTTAAATATTTTTAAAACTTCTTTTAAAAACGGTGAGCTCTTATGTATGCAATCCTATATAATAAAAGGCTAATATGCAAGTCGACCAAATGGCGGAACTACCGGTCAGCATCATGTGCACTGACCACCAGCGGGCAGACGCTCAACACAAGAGCTGCCCCCTAGTGGTCAGTGAGTTCTCACAGGGAGAGTGCTGCTCAGCCATAGCTGGGCTCAGGGCTAGCAAGTGCAGCGGTGGTGGAGGGAGCTTCTGCCTCCGCAGCAGCGCTAAGGATGTCCAACTGATGGCTTAGGCCCGCTCTCTGGGGGGAGCAGGCCTAAGCAGTTAGTCAGACATCCCCCAAGGGCTCCCGGACTGTGAGAGGGTGCAGACCAGGCTGCGGGACCCTCCCCCCATGTACATGAATCTTGTGCACCAGGCCTCTGGTTTCATTATAAAATAATTGTTTTCTTCCTTTTCTTTGCTCAGCATATGGCCCTTAAAACACTTGCCGAGAACATAGTTATTCAAATACAGATGGCCATTACTACGAAAATTCTTCATTTGTTACAGAAGCATTTTATATTGGATAAATTCATAAACAGGACTGCGTAAAACAAAAAGTTATAAGAATATATAAGAACTTTTTTCATTATATAAAATATCATTAAATAAAATAATATTATTTTTAAATGGATATTTTGAAGTTAATATTTTTATACGATGGCTATGTAAGAAAGAACGTGGCATATATGTGTGTGTTTAGAGAGGCCATGGATGCAATGAAATTCCTTTAATGTGCAGATGGAAGTTTATATGGGTTTTAGTAAAGACCAGAACATAATGGTAGCATGAATAACAGATAATAGCATCTGGCACTTTTAACATTTTAAGCCCTGAAATTGTTGGAGAACTGACAGTTGAATGAAACTGACAGCCGTAGTTATTTCTCAGCACTTTCCTTCTGAGATATTTTGAGTTTTTTCCAGATTCAGGAATTTTTTAGGGGGCATCTGGACAGGCTATTTCACTGAGAGAGACAGACAATATTTTCTGAAAATTGCCACCAAAATTAAGCAACTGTTGTGCATATGAGCTAGATAACAATGAATTAGAAATAATCGCTCAATTTCTGGTTGCCTGTGTGTAGATGTATGTGCCTTGTGTGAGGTGGGGTGGGGAGGTGACAGAGCTGGCAACAGGAAGGATGGGGGTATGGGAGCAGGAATAGACCACCAGGTAGTCTTCAATGTATCGCTGGGCCATGTGCAGCCATCCCAGGAGAGCTCACTGAACATGACAAGCATGGGCCAGTCCTTGTGACTTGTGTCATCACATCCTATAGTTCTGGATCCTGCTATTCTGAGAAGCACTGTAGATCAGGGTTGCTTCCACCAACCTTGCCATATACTGTTTCTTCTTTATTCTCTTTTTTCTTCCTCTCTAGTTTTTTCAATATTCCTTAGTTGTCTTCTTCTTCTTCTTCTTTTTTTTTTTTTTTTTTGGTGTGTTTTTTTCTTTTGTTTCTCTCCTCTCCCTTTTCTTCATGTTCGGGAAGCCCAGCCCATTATTTAATTTCTACATGACCAAGAATCAACACCTTTCCCTTCCTGCGCTTCAGTTTCCTCCTCTAAAAACATGGATAATCATCCTGCCTCTCAAAACGTAGATCTCAGGATAAAGATCCCTTATCTTTATTTTTCCGAACAAGGTTTCCCTCTGATACCTTCCCAAGGAGGACATTGAATGCAATCTACTTTTTCAAAATAATACCTATTCGGTATCTCACTTCTCATTTTCAAGATTCAGAACAGGATGTGAAAAGTACTCTCTATCAGTCCATTACCTTGCCACAGATGAAGGAACAAAGAACAGAAGGTAAGAACATGTCCTGGGGGCTAAAGTGACCCAAAAGCACTCTTTCTTGTGCCTGTCCCTGCTGGCTGTGGCTCCCCCAAGCCACGGCTCACCCAAGTCAGATAACTGTGGTAAGAAGCATTAAGCTTAAAAACTATTTTGTCTTGGCTCAGTGGACAGAGCATCGGCCTACAGACTGAAAGGCCCCAGGTTCCATTCCAGTCAAGGGCATATACCTTGGTTGCGGGTACATCCCCAGTTAGGGGGTGTGTAGGAGGCAGCTGATCGATGATTCTCTCTCATCGATGTTTCTAACCCTCTATCCCTCTCTTCCTCTCTGTAAGAAATCAATAAAATATATTTTTTTTAAAACTATTTTGTCAGCTCAAACGTAGGGCAAGCACTTTGACTCCAAGAACTCACTTAGCATCTTCCAATTCCTTTTTGTTCTTCTTAATGACATTGAATCTCCACATACTTTCTAAATTTCAGACTTTAGATCATTTAGGTTGCAAACTGAAGGAGTAAAAGTCTGTACGATCAGACCTGAAGTAAGTGAGCCATTCGAAAAGAGCAAAATCTAAACAAACCCATTTTTCCCCCATGAATTGGCCAGAAAATAAAACATAGATATAAGCATTCGATAAGAACATACTTCTATTGAATTATAAAAGTTGCCAATGTGAATCTATATTGTTTTTTGGAATTATGAAAAAAAAATGAGATTGGGAAGTAAACAAACTATTTGTTATAAGACCTCGCTTTCTGGCTGAGTGATAAAAGTCTAGCAAAGGAGGTCCCTTAGGCACTAATGAGACCCCCAAATGGGAAGAGTTTCTCAGCATATAAAAGGCACAGTGTTGGCATTGTTGAGGAGGGCACAGAATTACAACCAATGTCAAACACAAGGCCCTAAATGGAAATGAGCGCCCACTTGTCTGAAATTTGCTTCATTAACTCAGGACTGGATCCGTGTGTCTGACTCTGTAGGAATAGAAGGCTGTCCAGGGAACATGGACCACGGCCCATCACAGCACAGTCACAAGGATGAGGCCAGAAAGCCTGAGTCCCACCCCGCACATGGCCCTGAGACACATTCAAACATGGTGGGTTTTATCCCAGCAGGATCCAGCCAAGAATAAGCATGCAGTTATGCTGACTTGGCAAAAGCACCGTCCTTCACGTGACATATGACTTTTACTGAACCCGCAGCAACAGGTCTTATCGCTTGGATTAGGATGGGGGGGGGGGGGGCGGGCCACCATCCCAGCAGCAATCGATTGGCTGGAGACTGGGAAGACCTGTGGACTGGAGGGGTACCCTTCACCCCTTTTCTAAAGCTGTCTTGCATGACGTGGGATTGAATCAATAATCTTAATCTCATCATGACTATGCTTGATCAGTTACTGTGAATTTTAGCAGATTTCTGGGTTATAAAAATAGACAGAAGCCTGAAGCGGCAGGGTTAGGGGGTGGGTGGAATGTGGTGGGAGGAATACATTAGTCAGTTTGTGATCATCGGTAATCAGCTTTTTATACTTGGTATGTGTCAGTTTTACGTTTATTAAAGTCAAATATACTTTATTTTAAGAAACTGCTCTAAAATACAATGAGGATAGATTGACTAAGACCATCCCTCAACACTCCAGATACATTCTTAAGAGCCACGCATAATCAAGGGACTACGTCCAGCATGACGGAATCTAATCGGAAGCAGCTGCTGTATCAATCTCCCTCTCCACTCCTGGGATGGTGTGTGAGCTGGTGGCACGGAGCATGCCTTGGGACCTCGGGCCTCCCAGGAACCCGTCCCAGCTGTGACACATAGGGCTGGCCTTTCCTTTCTGCTCTGGGTGCCTGCTCCTGCTCCATGGACCAGCGGGATGTGTTATGTCAGTCCTCCTGCTAGATAGAGCACATACGTGGTGGGCTAATGGGACTGCATCCTCAGGGCCTTCCTTACTGACTGGACAGGGAGATAATACTGCCAGGGAACATGTGCTCCAGGAAGGAAAGAAAGGAGGAAGGGGGAGAAGGAAAGAAGGAAGGGGGGGGGAGGGGAAAGGGCAGGGAGAGTGGAATTGCAAACAAACCCATCTGAGATCACTGCTGTTTATGTTGACTTATGCTCTGAGATGCCAAAGCATATGCTAAAATGAAATTACTCTTCCCCTAAAGTCTCCGGACTTCAAAAGCCTGAAAAAGGCGGTACACACTTCCAAAGAGAATGGCCATTTCGCTCCTTGAAACATGTAAACTGGCAAGTATCTACAACTTTCCTGACAAGCAAGCAAAAAGAGAAGCACTTACTGTCGCGATTAGGGTCACATTTGCAGTGATAGAGAGTCTAAACCACAGAGGGCTCCGGCCATGAATTCTTTTGAGCGACACTAAGTCATGCTAATTAGGCCAAGCCAGGTGGCTCAGCGTAGGGAGATGGAGGCTGCAGGAACTCCTGCACACTCAGGACATCTGGCCTGCAGGAGGACAAGCGCCTCTAAGATAACCAAGTGTGTGAGTGCATCTTCGTGACATTGGGATTGAGACGATTCAGTCACCCAGCACGTGACCCAATGACTCTATATAGCTGCCCCGCGGGGTCTTCAGGCATTGGTTCCAGGACCCCCTCAAACACCAAAATCCATGGGTTCTTGAGATATTTTCACAGAACCCACACACATCCTCCTGCATACTTTACATCATCTCTAGATGACTTATCAGACCTAATACAATAAAAGTGCAATGTTTATAGTTGTGGTATTATATTGTTTGGGGAAAAATGGCAAGGAAGAAAGGTCTCTCCATGTCCAGCACATATTCAATCATTGGTTTAACTACATAGCCCATGTCAGCGACAACGTAACTCTTTTCTGACTATTTTCCATCTGCAATTGGGTGAATCTGCAAGGCAGACAGCACGTAGTTTTGCTAACACGGTTCCTTCACCAAACCAAGGAAACACATTTGACATGACTCTTATGTGTCCCTGAATTGGTTTTATCTTCTATGTCCTGGCTCAGAAAGAATTCATAATACGGGCAGCTGTATTGGAAGGGATAGGTAACGTAATCTCTGGCCCAGTTCACACAATTGTAGCCATACTGGAGGTAAAATTCACAATAATAGCCCTAGCTTGTCTGGTTCAGTGAATACAGCATTGGCCTGTGGACTAAAGGGTCTCAGGTTCAAATTTGGTCAAGGGCACATACCTGGTTGCAGGCTCCTTCCCGCTGTGAGAGGCAACCCATCAATGTGTCTCTCTCAAACTGATGTTTCTCTCTCTGTGTCTCTCTCCCTTTCTTCCACTCTTTAAAAATTAATGGAAAAATATCCTTTTTTGGTTACAAAAAAGATTTCCCCCCCCCCCACAATTATAACATATTATTATTTTAGGCAAGTAACAGGAAATGTTGGATGTATTTACAAATTTCTTCTGAAATTTAAACTTAACACTCTACCAAATCTAAAACAAGGTACAGAACGATGCATCATCTACACAGGACTGTGAAAGAATAATTTAGGAGAAAGAAAGCCAATTAATACTCTTCAATCATGCTTTCTTAACCTTATGGACAGACTGACACGATACCTCCTTCTCCTCCTCCGTCTTCCCGTGGGCTTTGCTGTAGTTGATCGGGGCGTCCCAGCCCTCCTGGACACACAGCGCCTGGTAGAAGGCCGCATTGACCAAAATGCTGCTGGTTTTGAACGGGGATGAGGAAGGAGTCGGAATAGACGTGTTAGAGGGAGTGAGGGGAGCAGCTTTGTCCGGAATTCGATTTTTTTTCATGCTCAAGTCCAATGTGCCATTTTCATCCACTTCTATCTCGGCTCCCTGGTATACATAGGAAACAGGAAAAAAAAAAGAAAAAAAAAATTTAAGCTGTTTGCTGTTATAGTTTAACCACGTGGAGCTTTTAAGGGATCATTTGAAATGCAAGCTTTCGTGTAAGCATATCTGATGTTAAATCTCGCTCTCTGCTTTGCTTTGGTTAATGTTCGATTCCTAGGCAGACTTTTTCAAAGCAGCCCCGTTAGTGGGCTCCATGTTTCTGGGTTTCAACAGAGTAAGCCTGGTATCAATAAGGTGTTCCAAATGCTAAATGTATTGGCTAAACCTGGTAGGTGTTTATTTTTAAAGTCTGGTTCTAAATCTTCTTTCCTAGTTTGCAGACTCCTCACTCGAAATCCACCACTTAAAGCATCAATACTTGACTTTATAAAAAAGTACAACAGTATTCCTCCCCCCACCCAAATCACAATACTAATCTAGCATGGGAAATGTGGAAAAGTAACCAACCGGGAGAGAATTTTTATGGGAATATTAGATTAACATGAGAGTAACATGTTGCCCTGGGTCACTGGCACCGGACAAGCTCTGTTAAACTGGGGGGAGGCAGACGCGCAGACTGTGATTCCCTCCGGGGGCCTGTGGGTGGCAGCTGCCGGGGTGGCCGCTCAGGTTTCAATTCCACAGTCACATCTTCAGACGGTGAGTATTATACTTCCCAAACACTTAGTAAAGCTGACCTCCTCACAGCATGTCTTTGGGGACACCTCTGGCTCAGGTTTTCCTGTTCTGTTTCTGAGGCCCCCGTGCCCGTGTGTTCTGAATATTCTGCAAGGCCCTGCTCAGGCGGGTTTTCCGTGGCATGGACACCGGGAGCACCGCCACATGTTGGCAAGAACACGTCTGTCCTCGTCCTACGTGGGTCCAGTGAGTGTCTCTCTGGCGTTTTCACCATCATCCGTCAATTCGCGGTTGACTTTTGAATGACTCCTCTCCTCTTCCTTTTAGGCTGGCAAAGCAGGAGGCGTCTTTGAATATGTTAGCAGGATCCCTGACGGGTGAGGTAGCCAGTTACCTCCCAGGGGGTTGACTTTAACTCCCCGCTTACACTGTGCCTGCACCTCCCCCACTGCCTCACCCGCCCCAATAGCTGCCATTCAGGTGTGGGCCATGGTTTGCCCCTGATTTAGAAAAGGAAGCCTGGCAGGTATGGCTCAGTGGTTGAGCACTGATCTATGAACCAGGAGGTCATGGTAGATTCCAGATCAGGACACATGCCTGGGTTTTGGGCTCTGTCCCCGGGGGGTAGGGGGGGGGGCCTGCAGGAGGCAGCCCATCAATGATTCTCTTTCATCGATGATGTTTCTATCTCTCTTTCCCTCGCTCTTCCTTTCTGAAATCAATAAAAATATATTTTAAAAATCACCTCTTCAGTGTGTTTGTTCTACCTGTAAAGTTCCTATTTCCCAGGCCCTCAGTCTGTGAGACAGTCATGCTTTATTGTATTTGTGGGAGGTAAGTACACTTCTAATATGTTTGTACTAAGATGCTTTGGCCATATCTTTCTGTCCTTTTTTAGTAAATAGTTTAATCTCCTGTGATAGTTTTAAGCCCCGAATTTGACAGCACAGCTTATCCGGGATAATAACTTAGTAACCACAACATCTTAGGCCATCTGTATAACATCAAATACATTTTTATACCAGCATTAATAAACCTTAGTTACAAAAATCCAAGATATTAACCATATCAGTGCCAGGTGCTCTCTCCATGATACCACAATGCATTCTGTCGTGAGCATATCAAGGCAATTACTGGCTTCATAGCTGCTATGTAACGATAGCAGTAAAACAGATCTATAGTAATCAAGTTTAATAACCAACGTAAAGTGCTAAATGCCACAGTTGCTGGCATTTTTTCATTTAAAAAAAAAAAAACACAACACTTGGGTTAAGACTGTAGAACTAGCATTCACATGAAATTCCAGACCTCTGTGACAGATGGCTTAGGAAAAGGGAGCCATGTGACTGGGCTGCAGAATTTTATAGTACAAAACCCACAAATAGTGCAGCTTTGAGCTCACTGAAAAATATCAGTTATCCCAAGGCAACGCTAATATGCATTTTAGTTTTCACGGGGGGGGGGGGGGGGGGGAGTTCCAAATAGTAAATTTTAAAAAAATAGAGTTGATATGCGTATACATTGTGAGTAATTGTGTGCTGATTGGGGGGAGGGGGAGGATCACTCCTAATGTTTAAAAGAGGCATTTTTCTGCAGCCCCAGCTCCAGCCGGCTGCTCTGAGCACCCGACTTGCCTGGGAGGGAGCACGTTCGGGCGGAGAGTACAGATGGGCTTTCGGCGAGCACACAGATGCATTCGGCAATTACGCACAGTCCGGGAAGGCCCCTCTCTGCCCACCGATGGCTGGGTCACACGTTTACTGCATGGAGTTTTATTCAGAGCTGTAACTAGGGACATCACTCCTCTCCAGAGTCTGAAACTCCAAATGGAAGGATAAAGAGGGTGGGGGGGAGGGGAAGGGAGAGAAGTTGGGGTGGCTAGGGGGACTGTAGGAGGAGAAAATAGCCCTTCAGCTCATATGGAGTCCCCACCTCCAGACTTCTAATATTCTAATTTCTCAACGTGCTACTTGGGATCTTTATTTTAACTTTAATTTTTAACGTTTTCTTGAGGGTAGGCATAAGTCTATTACTACTCACGTTCTTTCCAATTTGGATACCTATCAAACACCATCTTACCCATTTCAGCCCCTTTCAAGTTAAAGGAGTTACCTGTGATTTATTCATTCATTCATTAAAATGCTGATAAAGCGTTTAATATTTTCAAGCTACTATATTTAGGGGAAAGGAAAATTTAGAAAATACAATGTTCCTGCCTTCAAGGAGCTTATTTTATCTGTATAAGAAATTTGTATTGGGGGGAGGAGGGAGATTGGTAAGATATATACACATATAATACCTTAATAAAAAATGGGGGGGAAAGAAATTTGTAGTAAAAGGTGATTTAACAAATGTTATAAATTATTAAACTGAAAATGGAGATAGTTATTCATTGTAATTGTTATCTGCACTATAAAATAAGAAGTGTCTCGGTTGTACACCAACAGAGAGATGATTACTGAAATTATGCTACGTCTATTTAATGACACATTATGCTACCTGTAAAATAATAATTATGAGGACTTTGAGGCAACAGGGAAAAGACATATCACCTACCACTGCAAGCAGGAAACAACCCGGCATTTCTACTCTGGGAAAACATAAATAGAAATGTGTTTCCAGAAGAACAAAAAAGAAAACTGCATAAAATAAGGTCCTTATATTTAGAGGATGGACTTGTGGTTATTCCCTCTAATATTTTCCAGAAAAATGAAAATAGTGCATTGTTTCCACAATTAAAACTTTTACCATACATTAAAGATGACAATACACTTAAAGAAGCAAAATCATAATTTTGGCTTTAAATGTTCTGATTATAAAAATTATTAATATTCAAAATATTGGTGGGGAAAGCCATTGTTTTCCATATTTGGCAACATTTTCTACTAATACAAAGTAGGCCACCCATCACCTTTTCCTTTTTGGCTTGGCTAGAAGGGCTGGCAAAGTGAAGGGTCCCTCAGCCTTAGGGTCCTGCAGGAATTAGCCCCTCCCTCAATTTCATCTCTTGGCCTGTGTTCTTTCATGCTAGCTTCAGGGTGTTTGGGGAGTATCTTTCATGATTGAAAGCTATCTGAAATCTGCTTCCAAAGCAAGCAGATTATTAAAAATAAGGGGAAAAATAGCCGAAACCGGTTTGGCTCAGTGGTAGAGCGTCGGTCTGCGGACTGGGAGGTCCCAGATTTAATTCCGGTCAGGGGCATGTACGTTGCTTGCGGGCACATCCCCAGTAGGGGGTGTGCAAGAGGCAGCTGGTTCATGTTTCTCTCTCATCGACGTTTCTAGCTCTCTATCTCTCTCCTTTCCTCTCTGTGAAAAATCAATAAAATATATTTTTAAAAAATAAGGGGAAAAATAAATATCTAATTCTTACTAAATAGTGAGTGAGTATTAAAACTCCTAAACTGAGGGTATAAACTAGTGAAATGCACTCAATATAAATAGAATGATGGCATTCAGAGGAAAAATAGGTATCTGCCATGGGGTATAAGATTAAAATGAAATTTCCCCCAAGTCTTTGTCTGAAAAATGTACAAAATTAAAATGGAATTCCCCAAAAATCTTTGTCGGGGACTTGGAATCAGAGTCAGTGGACATTGTTGGTGGGCCAGCAGTCTGACTACCACACAGGGACAAGCTCTCTAAAAAGATGAGAAGTGGAACAGGTGTGAGTTTAACCTGCAGCTCCAACATTCATCGCTGTGCCTCTAGGAGAAAATTACTTAATATCTCTGTACCACTGCTTCTTCATCTGCAGAATGAGATGATAATAACTGCTTTATGGAGTTTCTAGAAAGATTAAAAAGGATTACCGTGGGCAAAGTGCTAGTTAATATGTTGGTACAAAATAGGCATTCAATGAATAACAACTAATCCTATATAATAAGAGGCTAATATGCAAATTGCCCCCTTGACTAGGAGTTTGGGGGTTCAACCAGACCTTGACCAGGGGGTGGGGCCAGCCAGCCAACCACCCGTGACCTCTCCCCCAGTTAGCATCACCTCTAATTGGCACCTGCCACCCCTCCCCCCAGCCTGCCTGGCCCAATCAGCCTTGACAGGAGCAGGCCTGTCAGACTCAACCCATGCAAGAATTCGTGCACTGGGCCTTTAGCAATAATAATAATTCAGGTTTTGAATATCCAAGAGACATGTTTCTATGCTACGGTGCACAGAGGTAAAGTGCCAGTTATTCAATATCTATTCTCCCTACATTGATTGGCTCCTTGAATCCTTGACCTGAGTCCCTTATTGCATTTTACAAACAGAACGTGGTGTGAAGTCACTGAGAAGGCCGCTTTCAGATTCTAACCACCCTGAGAGCTGCCAGGCTATTGCTGATATCAGGCAGCGAGCATGGCGATGTGATATCGTGCTGTTTCTCGGCCTTATTCAAGCACAAAACAGACTTTGAACTTTAAACATTTCAAGCAAGTGTCAATTTTTTGTTTTCTTTTAAGGCACACTGTGCATATGCCACTTTGTCTAAACAGGTGGGGGAGACACCAAAACAAACAACAGAACACTTGGCAAGCAGCAGCGGCCGGGATAAAGATAGACTGGGAAGCGTGCTTCTACCTCTGCTGGTGCGCGTGGGAGGGAGGAAGGAAGAGGGGGTGTCTCTGACCCGTGCTGGCACATGCTGTTCTGGGGCCGGAGGGAAGCACTCAGCAAACCCCACACACCCAGGATGCTCACTCCATGTCTGCTGCCCGTTCGACTGCATTCTCTGCTCATATCAGTAGCAACTAAAGAGAGAGTGTCTGAGGCTGCGGTCCATGTATGCTTTACAAACTCATATGAATTCCAAATTAAAATAGAGGACATTAGCCGAAACCAGTTTAGCTCAGTAAATGGAGCGTCGGTCTGAGGACTGAAGGGTCCCAGGTTCAATTCCGGTCAAGAGCATGTACTTTGGTTGCGGGCACATTCCCAGTAGGGAGTGTGCAAGGGGCAGCTGATCGATGTTTCTAGCTCTTTAACCCTTTCCCTTACTCTCTGTAAAAAATCAATAAAATATATATAAGAAAAATAAAATAGAGGACATTAGATAAATCTTAGAACACATGTAAGTACTAGAATCAAAAGAGGCTCCGACCACACACAAAATCATCTCTAACTTTTATGCGATCCACTAAGTATTAATATTATTTTTTTTCTCTTGACTTGATTCTTCAAAGAGATACTTAAAACATATACGGGTAATTTTTGGCAGTGTGGATGTGTTACATTCATGCCAGGTCGTATTCTAATGAATAACCCCTTTAAAAGTTATATTCCGATCCAATGGACTTCAGTTTGGTGGGGGTGTCAGCACTGCCATCCTCTGCGCGGTGCTGGGAAGGGGCTGATGTGTTGGGTGGCGAGCTGCTCGGGGCTGAGGAACTTCAGGAAGAGAAGGAGGTTTTAGAATATCCATAGCGCCCACTCTTTGTTGTTTTTAGTGCTAAGAACTCAAAGCTCCCCTGCCACTCTGAAAGCAGCCCCTGCTTCTATCTGCCATTAGAGGAAGGATTTTGCAAGTCAAGAATCCAGATCTCCCACTAAACTTGGAACCAGTTGAGAGCTTGCAAATAGCATGAAAAAAAAAATTATATTCACCTCAACAGGTGAATTAGGAAGGCAATGTCAAGGTTGCTGTCCTGAGGCTTGATGTTAAGAAGATTGTGTCTGGGTGGCGTCATGATCTATAATTTTGTTCTCTCATTGGGCTCCTTAAGTGACTTCAGAAAAGCTGCTTACGTAAAAATTAAAAATAAAAATTTTAAATTTAAAAATTTAAAAAAAAAAAAAAAAAAAAAAGAAAGAAAGAGAGAGAGAAAGAAAGGACTGGATGGAAAGGCAGAAGGAAAATGAGAAATCAGCTCCTGTCCAAGTTCTGATCAAATTCTCTGCAAAGCCACCACCTGCACCCGGACACAAGGACCACAGCCTCTGAAAACCTAGCCCTCGGCCTGGGACAGCCCTGTGCCCACTGTGTCTGTGAGCTTCTGGAAGGCAGGGCCTGGGACGGAATCAGCCTGGGCTCTCACAGGCCCGCACTCCAACACCTCTGGTCCATGTAGTTAAGAGTCCATCTGCCGAACTGTCTCTCTTTCCATCAAAATGCTCGGCTATAGAAGTCAAGAGGAAGGGGAAACTCCACAAGTCTGCATCCTTGGTTCTGAATCGGGAACTCCAGAAACCTATGGCTGTTGGCTATCCGAAATAAACATGCAGCAACCCGCCCTGGAGGAAACAGCAGACCTAGTGGGAAGAGACACAGCCTAGTACTCAGTGTGGAGGGGAAGATAGTTAGTCCGACGTTAAGTAAAAGGCACAGAGCAAAGGTCCACAATGGGCACTGTTTGTCAGAGGCCATTTTTCAGGGTTAATTACTTTGGCTTTCTCTCTCTCTCTCTCTCTCTCTCTCTCTCTCTCTCTCTCTCTCTCTCTCTTTATCTTTCTTTCTCCTTTTCTTTTCTTCTTTGCTACAAAAATTACATTTTGTGGTTTTAGGAATTTATGAGGTTCTTTTCTTTATTCAGAAAATAGGATCCAGTGAGGACAGAATTCTACCAATTGCTACAGTCGTGTGCAAATGTGTGCCTGGGAGAAGCATTCCTGACAAAGTGACAATTTTGAGGTGCCATCTTCAGCCTGTTTTAACAACCACTGTGTCAATCGAGGTCATTTTCATGGGGGAATGGTTTAGAAAGCTTCCAGAAGAGCCAACTCCTTCTAAAAGTCTATCAGTGCACTTCCTGTCTCTTCCATCTTCATCGTCACATCGCTGATTTGGCTTCTGCAGTTAAGACTGGGCTGGCAGCCGAAACCGGTTTGGCTCAGTGGATAGAGCGTCTGCCTGTGGGGTGAAAGGTCCCAGGTTCGATTCCGGTCAAGAGCATGTACCTTGGTTGCGGGCACATCCCCTGGCAGCTGGTCGATGTTTCTCTCTCATCGATGTTTCTAACTCTCTATCTCTCTCCCTTCCTCTCTGTAAAAAATCAATAAAATATATATATATATATATTTTTTTTTTTTTTTTTTAAAGACTGGGCTGGCAGCTGGGAGGTTGAGACCAGCAGTTGAGCCCATGTCCCCTGGGCAGGCAGCACTGGCTCTCGGCATGGACCCAGTAGGAGCAGAAGAACGTACATAGGAAGTCAGGCATTTGCATTTTTGAAATAAGCCAATTTAACAGTCACTTTTCTGACCAGAAATGTGTTTTTAAAAGAGAACACATATTGATAAGGGGAAATGCTCTCAGATCTTAGTCATTTTTGATTCATTGTTTGGCTTCATCAATTAATAGAACACAGGAGTGTATTAATTAAGGTTAAAGTCAGAATTCTGAGGAACAAAAAAAAACTATCTACATGTGCACGTGGAAAGCATTCAACCTAGAAATCTTCTAATCAAGTGATTTAGCATCACTAATCATTATACTTTTTGTCCTTTATTTTCATAGAACAGCCGATACGAAGAAATAATAAAGCACAAAGAAGGACGAAAGTTTAGTATTTTTCCAACTATCTGCATACTGAAAAAGGGAAAAAAAAAAATTATTCGGATTTAAAAACAAATTTTTAAATAGCTAAAGTTGCCTTTTAAAGCACCTTAGATCATGTATTGAAGTAAATCATTTCTGACTTGGCATCCTTTGAATTTGGATAACTTGGCATTTTCTTCATATTTTTTTAGAGGATGTATTTTTCTTTGTTTGAGAATCTCATTTGTTTAAAAATTGTTTTTGAGTGATTCTTGGCCACCAACTCTTCCTGGGGTTTACTTGGCTCAGATCTGTCCAGAAGCTAATTCCGATTCTTCTGTCAAATGCTTCATGGCACCGCATCCCCGCTCTCCCGAAGGCCTGGCAGGCGCAGGTGAGCAGCTGACCACACCGGGGATGGGGCTGCGCTTCATTGGCAAGGAGACCGGCATCCTCAGATCGCCTGAATCTTGGGGTTCGCGTTTAATCCCAGGTTCTTTCACGGAAAGTAGGAGTGAAACCTCTTCCTCGAATAAGCCCACGCTCTATTTCGGTTGCCTTCAGTCATCTGGGTGGGAACTGACTTATTTTAAGGAGCCCTTTGTGTAAGTGTGACTTCCTGGCTCCGGCTGAGGCTGATGGCAGGCTCAGGCCTGCCCTCCCTCTGGGGAGGATCCCTGTCACTCGCAGCCCCTCAGACCCTCCTTCTCAAAAGGCAGGACAGGGAGGGCCTCTGTGTCCTGTTGTCATATGGGTATCAGGAACACGCACGTGGACTTCTCGTTGTTGGTTAGAAAGGTGGGGCCATTAGAGAGATAGAATTCACCTCTGAGGCTTCGGCAATGTGGCATCTGCATGAACCTCCCAGGATTAGATTTTGGATTTGTGTGCCCTCAGTCCTCAAGTCCCCCCCTGAACTACCTCCTGTGGGTTTCATGTGTCCAGGTTTTCCTACATGTCCTCGGAGAACACCACAGCACCTTGGGCTAGCAGTCACGGGCAATCCCCAAGTGCCCCGGGTCCATTTTGCGAAGGCTTTACGAGTCGCTGTTGGATCATACAGTTCCTACCCTCGCTGATTTGCACACAGCAACACGCTTCCCTCATTCAGACGGATTTTATTTATTTATTTATTTATTTATTTATTTGTAAATATATTTTATTGATTCTTTTTAATTGATTTTTTTACAGAGAGGGAGAGGGAAAGAGTGTTAATAAACATCGATGAGAGAGAAACATCCATCAGCCGCCTCTTGCACACCTCCAAATGGGGATGTGCCCGCAACCAAGGTACACGCCCTTGATGGGAATCGAACTGGGGACCTTTCAGTTTGCAGGCTGATGTTATATCCACTGAGCCAAACTGGTTAGGGCTCAGATGGATTTTAATGGCAACACTCTTTCCTTGTGTGCCAAACTCCTCAAACCAACAACAACAACAACAACAACAAAAAAGCAACATAACTTTGAAAGCTACCCATGTCCCCAACCAGTCTCTCTAGCTCACATCTCCCCCAACTTGGGGGCACCAGCGTCCAGAGCAGCCCCTCTTTCATGCCTCCTGGAACCTGCCACACTCTCCCTGTCCCTGGGCCCCTGGCCCTGTTCTTAAGACGAGGAGGGGGTGTGCTGTAGGGGCGGGAGCAGCAGGGCAGGGCACGTGGTTGGGAACATGAAAGGCAGTTGATTCTCACAGCTCAGTCGCCGGCCCCCCCTCCAGGCTCTTGGACCGGCCTACCTTGGCATGCAGGCCATGCGGTTTGTTGGAGAGGATGTCTGCAGCCTCCCTGCAGCGGGTGGAAAGGTTCAGGATGGCAGCAGCTGCTGCTATGTGGGTGTCTTCGCTGCACTGACCGTAGCTGTAAGAGCTGGCACGGCGAGGGCTCTGTGTGTGGGCGCCTGCACTCGGCAGTCCATTAGGAAATTTCCCTGGGTTTGAAAAATGCCTCGCTGCTGAAAAGAGATTTGATTAGCAATTGCATGTAACGTGGTGTGCCGGTCATTAAACAGGTTTTTTCTAAAGATATAACTTCTTGCATTAAAATATGTGAAGAATAAATTAGAGCACGATCCATTATGCACTTGGTACATTCAAGGAAGGTCATTCAGACGTGTTTTCACAGGAGTTCACAGATCAAATGGTGTGATTGCTGGAGATAAAAAAAAAAAAGCCTATTCTCTTAACATTTTTTTGTATTTATACACCTTATGGCAAAAACTCCAGAGCTAATGTTATGGGGCAGGTACACTGGAAGGAAGCAATTGGGGCAAAGGTTGTATATTAAAAACCACTCCAGCTGAAACCAGTTTGGCTCAGTGGATAGAACGTCAGCCTGCAGACCCAAGGGGTCCCAGGTTTTATTCCAGTCAAGGGCATGTACCTTGGTTGTGGGCACATCCCCAATAGGGGGTGTGTAGGAGGCAGCTGATTGATGTTTGTCTCTCATCAATGTTTCTAACTCTCTATCTCTCTCTTCCTCTCTGTAAAAAAAAATCAATAAAAATATATATATTTTTTAAAAAGCACTCCAAAAACACATCAGGGCCTACAGAGGGCTAAGGCTTGTACATTTGTAAACTGTGTGTGTATGGACAAGTCATTCCAGTAAAGGAAATATACATACATCCTTTCAATACTTGCTTTCACAATAACACGTTATATTTGGATATGGAATTGCATTTTTGTTTATTCGATACCCAGGTTTGCCTTGTGCTTAAACCAGGAGAAGTCGTTCTTCCTCCAATTAGATGGAACTAACTAGATGGCAGCGTCTTTAGTGAGCTGGCACTTTGCATATTCTGGTAGCACACGAGGAGCGAAGGACAGAGAGAATGTCCTCAAGGAGAACAGAAAGGCAACTCAGATAACAAGGTGGGGTCTCTGTTTTCTGTTTCTGTGGTGGGTACCAAGGCATGGCTGAGAGACAGAATTATACATGCTTCTCTCCACTGGGTGTGTGTAAACATCACTCAAGATTACAGGAGACACACACAAGATGTAATGGGGAATTATATAAAAGCATTGAGTTATTCATTTTGCTGTCCATATTGTTTATTTTAAATGTTTTATCATTATTTTAATAAAATGAAATTTGAAAATTTAAATGTACCAAGTGTTATCCCTACATAAAATATGAAAATATCACTGGATATTTCACATTTCTAAACAATATTGATATTATATGAGTATACAGATAGCTCTTAGTAACTAGCTTTACCAGAATTAAACAGATATGCATGTGTGTGTGGGTGTGTGTTGCATATTTTTAGTGAAATTGTAAATAAAATTGCATAGGCAAATACAAAACATACTGTGTGTGTGTGTGTGTGTGTGTGCCCATGTGTGTGTGAGTGTGTGTGTGTGATATTTTTTCCTTAATCTAACAGGTTTTCAGTGGTTATTTATGGTGTCTGGAACCTATTTTTGGTAAGAATAGGCAAAGCATATTTTGGAGTCTCATCTCCTTCTCATTGATAGCAGACTCATTTCAAGCCTGGTTTTATCCACTGTTGGGCTTTAAGCAGCATCCTAATTCTTTGAAAGAGGAGGTCAGTATCACAGAATGAGCAAAGATTCTGTGTTCTAGGAGCACTCAGCCTTGATGAAGAGGTGTGAGATCAAAGGATTTCATAGAGTTGTGGAATGTTGTATATAACACATGGTCTATGGAGGACTCAAAGTGGGAAATTAGTTCGCTTCTTCCCTATAATGAAAAAAATCATTCCTGGCTTTATTGCCAATGTCAACTTTCTCCCTTTTCATTAAAATATTCAAAGACTCTAAACAACTTGAAAAACAACGTGTTAGAAAAACTTTCAAGTTTTATATGTTAGAGCATCTTTGAGTTATGAACACATCTTTATGTGGCTGTGTTAGCATTGGAGTATTAACGCATTTTAAATGTTTCTATATAAATTCTTCAATTTGTGAGTAAATATCTCCATAGCCACACACATTTTTCCCCAGTAAGTTGTGTTTCTTCTTAGACTTTTCACTTTTTCTCCTACTTTCAGTCTGAACACTTAAGCTAATTAAGTAATGTTTTAAGTAGTATTTCAATATCTTACCTATTATATTTTCAAAATTTCACTCTCAGTCAAATTTACTCTCTTATAATAGCTATTACCATTTTCAATATGTTAATCCCAAATCCAGCCAAATGTGAATTAAAGATTTCTTTAGAAAATTGTATTCAGACTCAATAATAGTACCACATTAATAGAATAATTCATTCATTAATCACCATATTCAGTGTAACTTCATATAAAATCAGTAACACTCATCAACTTATCGTTGTTTCTGTTATTTAATGTATAATATATTTTCTCTCCTCCCAGCAACAAGTAGCATATTTAAGTACACCCACCCCCAAACACACACACACACACACACACACACACACACACACACACACACACACACCATATACATTTTTTGGAATAAGCATTAGAATTCAAAGCTTACATTCAGGAAACGGTGGTGGTTTTTGTCCTTGACCTGTTTGTATTAGGGGGCGTTTACCAAAAACCTGTGCATCGAAGCTGGCATAATCAAATGGCACTTTCCCAAACCTCTCTTGTTCTTTTGATGCTGAGGCTCTGGGGGAGGCGATGGCATGTGATCGGAAGTTGAATTCTATCTTCTTCACCACGCTTGTCCTGAAGAGTTTGGAAGAAAGATGGTGAAACTGTTGGTGGACACATCAGCCTCAGAACTAAAGCAGATCAGAGGTGGCATGGCTGCGGGTGGTACCCTTAGCGACACTGCACTGTGGGAAAGGCCAGTGGTCACAGCTCCGCACCCAGAGTGAGAGATAGGGAGGCACTTTGGGCTCTGGGCAGCCCATCGGTCAAAGAACGATGTACAATCTCCCATTCATCTATGCAGGTGCCACAAGGAGCAAGTATTTGGTGGCTGTTAGTACTTAGAGCTCCTTAGAGACAAGGTGTGCACATTCTGCTTGCGAGGACTGTTCATCCGATTAGCAGTGAAGAGTCATAATCATAACGTATAACTAGTGAGGAACAGCCGCTGTGTTCTGCTCAGGAGAAGCAGTGCTGGCCTATGCCATGCTCAGCAGAACTGGCAGAAGCCCAGCACCAACAGGGGCGGCAAAGGCACCGGGAAACTGATTCCTCAGTTGTGAGTTTCTTCTCGGGCTTTTCACCTTTCTTGCTAACTGCAGCCTGAATGTTTTTGCTAATTTACAAATAGTTTAAATAGCATTTCAATATTTTAGCTATTAAATTGGCATCAATATGGATCTAAATTACTGTGTTGTCACAGCTATCACAGTTTTCAACAAAATTATCCCAATCTAAGCTCAATGTGAATTAACTATTCCTTTAGGATTATTGTATTTGGATTAAACAAGGGTATCATATTTATGGAGTACCTATTCCAGCCAATGAAAACACAAATACCGTTGTGCTATGGTCTAACGGTAAAAGAATTTAAACAAATATAGCCTTTATATATATAGATATGTATATAGATAGATATAGATACATAGATATATAGATATAGATCGATATGCAAGGTGTCACCAAAACATGTCTACACTTTAACAGCTGGTAACTCACTTAATTTTCACTCTTTTTCAGGTTTAATTGATTTGAAATAATAGGTGAAGCCAGACTAAGCTTTGAACAAAGAAAATTTATCCACTAGACTTTTTTAAGGGGGATACATAAAAGATGAAGTTTACGGTACAAAGCTGGCAACAGTTGACAAATTGAGGGCGCACAAATCCCAAAGGAAATGCTTCCTGATGCCTGTGATGCTAGTGCTTTGCATTGCGAGCACTGTCTGGGCCACAACAGTAATCAGTGTGAAACAGGAGTTGACAAAAAAAATTATTCATTTCTGTAGATTCTTTTAAATCTTCAAAATGAACTGTATGTTAATAAACACTAACTTATCATCATTTAAAGTGTGTATACATTTCTGGGGGATACCTATGCATATTTATTCATGTGTGTCTCCTACCAAAACATGCCTGACTCATCAGAATGTCAAAGTTTTTATGATATTTCCTGGATTTATAAAAAACTTTTTTGCTGAAACATAAAAATATTTGAGTAATGAATTAATTTTGCTGTTGTATATAACTTGGTTTATACCCCTAATGGTGCATGTGTTTCAATCTAAAACAATATTTTTTAAGAAATTAGCAAATTAAAACTTGATGTTATTTCTATATTTAATAAATAACCTAATTAGGGAGAAACTAGAGAATACAGTAATACTAACTAAGAAGCTTGTTATGAAATATTAAGTTACTAGTTATTCAGTAATTCGTGTACTTCATTTGACATACATTCTTCACTCATGGGATTTGAATGCCTACTTTGAATCTTTTAATTAAATCTATAGGATCACATATTAATAGAAGCCAAATCTCAAAAAAAAATTATTCCTACTATTTATTTTGCATTTCAGTGTCTCAGTAACAATGAAGATCTGATCATTTGTTTTCTTCCTGAAATCACTTTTCTTAGATATATAATTTTTGTATTACCTAAATGTATAACATCACATTAAGGGGCATCATATGTTGTTTACTACTTAGGAATAAATATAGTCTTCTAAACCACCAGAGATTGTGATGCACCTAGGACCAATTAGATTTTATTGATAGTTCCAACTTACTCAATTAAATCTTTGTTTTAAAAAAGCCAAATGTAATGTATAAGAGAAGGATGAAAATATAGCATTGCGTAGTTTGAGTGATAGGAGTGGTTTATGGTGGCATTTTCTCTGGGGAGTCAATCATTAGGAAGACCATCACTGACCAGTGGGATAGGTTGCCTTTACTGATGCAAATTTTTGATTAATTTATGTTACCATATACTTTAATTCTTCTAGATTCATCCACATTATGTTACCTTTGCATACAGATTAATTTCAAGTGAAACTTCTGGAGGATCTAGAAGTTCATGTAAGTGACAGTGTGACCAACTAGACCAGCCCCTCCAGAGGATATCGGTGGCTGAGAATGAAGGTTGGGCTGTAGTGTGAACCAGCACACGAGAGATGGCAGACCCACTGTGCAGGAGCATGGCATGAATACAGGACCAGGCGTGTCATGGGAGGGTCCTACCTGTGAACCTGCTCAGAACACTGCCCTGTTTGGGAAGAATCAAACTGACTTTTGTCCTGGGACATGGCCAATTTTTCAGCCGCAGCGATGGGACAACCTGAAAGACTGTCAAAAAAAAATAAGGTAAGGATTGGAGTTAAAATAAAATAACATAATTTGCTTTGGCATGTACCCCACGTAATACCTGTCACACACTAAATATGAAGTCACATTAATAGCGCGCTTAACACAGTAAAGGGGTTTGCAAACTATAGTGTCAACATATGTCCCTCAACCACATCTCAGAGATGGTAGATAAACAAACTCATATTAAAAATCAAAATATTACCTAAGGAAGAAATAACTAAATTATCCTGAAACTTCTATAATATTTTAAGTGGGAAGTGCTCACTCCAATTGCAATGTATCCAACTATAGATGTTAGCATGATAACTCCATGACTTATCTTCGGATCTTTAGGGAAATGTTAGCGACTTCATGGGATGTCCTAGTTTAAACAGAAGATGAAGGTGTCTGGCAATATGCTTATGAGTCAAATAGTATCTCCAGACCACATAGTCTATATATAATACAAAATACACATAAAACAATGAGCATTTTCACCAAAAATATTTACATACATACGATATATGTGTATATAAATGCACATATGTGTTTTAAGGTAGGTGAGATCTCAATGAGATGAATCTCCATGAAATGTAATAATGTTTAGCTTCATCCTAATGCATAGTCAAAACCACAGTATATGGAAGCTCTTGGGGTATTTCTTAGAATGGGGTTCAAGGTAACTCCTAAGCAATTCTTTTCCATATCAAAACGGCTATGAGTTCACAGCAAAAGAACATGTTCTACGTGTATGACCATGTGAATGTGTAATCCTGGTCTTCAAATTTCACTTTGATGTTAGCATCACTGACTGCTAAATGAACATTTCTAGGAAAGTAAATAATGAGGTCATTATTTTCAGTCTGCACAAATTGAGAACACGTCTTATCTACTCCCAGTGGTGAGGTATCTGATACCGATGCTGTGATTTGGATAACACATGGCTAGTTTCTTATTTTCCTGGGCGAAAGTGCCCCTCACTTCCTGTCTGTGATGTGAAAGGTTAGCAGCGCACCACCGTTACCTCCTGTGGGTGTTCCGGTTGCTGTTCACATGCCCTCTTCCTGTGCATCCCGGGGTGGGGCACTTGAGCACATTTTCATGCATGGCAAGAACTAGGCCCAGGATGCCGCATAAAAGGAAAAAAATAACATGCTGTAAGCACATAACACAGGAACAAGAGGACTTCTCAAGTTTGCATTCAAATGAATTCAGTCACAGAACCCACTCTGCTCCCTCCCCTTAGGTGCTGGGGTTGAAGTAAATGAGCACTTAAGGACTTCAACAATTAAATTTAGCAAGCTGGTCCAAGTGTGAGGTCTTCTAAACCTCACATTATGGTTAACGCTAGACTTAAATGAGACCACTCTGCTTATATTTAACTTAAACTGAAAAGCTTATATTCTTCCTTTTATATTTATGTGCTTTTCCTTGGAGTGAATGGAAAACATTATTTATCAAATAGTTGTTCTTTCTATCATTTCCCCACAGTGTGAACGTTCCTAAGAGACATTATTTTGATTCTTTGTCCATCACCCCTCGCCCCACGCCTCACCCTCACTGCCACCCAATTATTGGTGAAAGAACAGGCTTGAGGCAATCAGTGTGAGGAAATGCTAATCCAGTGGGGCAGTGATGAGCTGATTACTTTCAGTGATTTGCAAAGACAAAACAAAACAAAAAAAAACCTTCCCATCACTGCGGTTTCTATGACCCAAGAGGTGTTTCAATAAGTAGGTTCAGAAAATAGAGGATGTAACACCAGAGACACTTGAAAACTTAGGAGGCAGTCCTTTCCTTTCCCTATAGTTTCCCGGTTCACGGTGGTCATGTGGGTGAGGAGACCAACTCAGGGTTGCTCTTGCCCAGGGCCCTCAGCGGCTGTAGGATGTCCTGGGACAACACCCCAGACATTCTGCGGCCCTGAGTGAGAGGTGGCCCAGGGGGCACTGGTGAGGTGATGCACTTCCCACATCTCACTGATGCCTTAAGGCTGAGCTCCTTGTGGGCACCAGAAACCAGGAGTCCAAGGAAGAAAGGACTGGGCGGTCACACCATGTACTGGCCCTGCCTCTCACTTTCTGTACGTTGATGCTTTGATACCTGGGGCCTTGCTCACCTTGGGGAGACCGCCCCTCCCAGGGCTACCTAATTCCTAGAGACAGTAGACACTTTGCAATGGAAGACCAATCACTTCGGAGCCCTCCCCACACTGCCTCTTTCATCAGGTTCTGGCACTACAGGACCCTCTCACCTGCCCCCATCCCCCAGGGCCAGAGCCCACTGAAAGGAGTCAAACTAGCTGAAACTGGTTTGGCTCAGTAGATAGAGCATCAGCCTGCAGACTGAAAGCTCCCAGGTTTGATTCCGGTCAAGGGCAAGTACGTTGGTTGTGGGCACATCCCCGGTAGGGGGTGTGCAGGAGGCAGCTGATCAATGTTCCTCTCTCATCGATGTTTCTAACTCTCTATCCCTCTCCCTTCCTTTCTGTAAGAAATCAATAAAAATATATATTTAAAAAAAAAAAAAAAAAAAGGAGTCAAAATAGCCAATTCCAAACCTGCTCCCTCTGTTCCCAGGAAACCCCAATAAAAGCTGATGCCCACACACCCCCACCACCACCACCACTCTGCCCTCCAACTGGCCCTGGGACTTCCCAGGAAGGTCCTGCCCGGGGAGGCCTGCCCCCTCTTTGGGGAACTATGAGTAACACATTATCTTCTCAGTATCAGTCATGGCATGACCCCTGGGCCTGGCTGTTCCCACGTTTTCTATCTCTACCCTGTATTTTGTACACTGGGCCAGATGAAAACTATCTTGATGACATGTTTAAAAACTTTCTATTTCCATTCCTAATTCCAAACCTGAGGAGAAAGAGGATCACACGGTGATGCTGTGGGATGTACAACAAGGTATCTACTTTTTTTTTTTTTTTAGGGCTGAGCAGTACTCACTTTCGAGGGGAACCCGCACTTTGTGGGGACACCCCGAAAGGCTGCGGTGGTGGGGGTAGAGTCCGGTCACGTGGCCTGTGCCATCGCAGCCGGGGATGGGGCACTTGGTCTCCCTCCGCTCAGGCCGTGGCGAGTCTGCAGAGACACAAAACGGAAAGATTGCTTCGGTTCCGCTCCTGTCCCTTCCCTTTCAATGGGATGGCCTTGCACGGTGCCATTCTCACTTTACTCCGCGCCATCGTAAACATGCCTCGCGCATTGCCTTGAGGGAGACCCTCAACTAAGACCTGTGGACACACACAAAAAAGGTTTTCAATTTCCCTGGTTTCCTAAGCGAAGGCTGACCCGGGGCAAAGGAGTGTGAAAACACAAGGTGGCTTTCAGGTGCCTTGCCAAAGGCTGCAGTCAGAGCCTCATTGTGAGAAAGCCAGTCCCCACCACAGGATGCACAGCCCCCTGAAAAAGAAAAGAAAAGCAGTGAGAGAGAAGAAAGACTTTATTTAAACCAAAACCTAGCTCCTAATTGAAGGCGTCCGGAAAAAGCAAAGCCGGGTTCAACGTGACAAAACAAAGAAGCCACCATATTGGAGAAAGACATTGGCCTTTCCCTCACAAAGCCGGCGGCCCCAGGCCTCAGGGCCCAGCGGCTGCTCCGGGGACCTGCTTCAGAGTCAGGAGGGGGATGCCAGCAGGCCATCGGTGCGTGCCCAGTGCTGCAGAGGCCCGGGTTCCAAAACACCAATGGCTCGCCATTCGGGACCTGTATGCAGTGGCTACAGAAAGAGAACTGCTAGTTTTACTCTGACTGCAAACGCTAAAAGCAAAGGCCCTAGGAAGAAGGTTTGGCAAAGCGCCGTTCTAGCAGGAGACTTAGAGGGAATGGAAGCATGCAGAGTGGAGGCTGCCCTGCATGGCCTGGGGGTGCAGCCAAGAGCAGAGGTGGGGGTGCGGGTCCCAGGCACAGCCAGGCAGGGACCAGGGACAGCTTGGCCAAGGGAAGGCTGAAGACACTCCCTGGGTTTTAATCTCCTGGCACACACATGGCTGAGGGTCAGCGAAAGGGTCAGCTACATACAGAAAATGAATGAGAACGAACAGGCCTACTCAGGAGGTGAGAGAGGCCTTCTATGGAATTTTTATGTTTGTGGTTGAGATGGCAGGTAAACTTCAAACACAAATGCATTCTTATAGCCCAAACGGCCCCCCTCACGAGTGCATGGGATGAAAAATAATAATGAAAATAAACAAGCTGTCGGCGATGGCTGGGGGGGAGAGGAGGAGGGGCAGAGTCCTGCCTGGCAGATGCAGAGGGCACATATGCTGCCGCCCCAAGCGTGGCCGGGGAAGCAGGGCAGTGTCCCGGGATGTGGCTGTGTCTCCAGAGCAGAAGACAGTGAGAGCAGACGTGCCTCTGGGAGAGCATGCCACCCCAGTTGGTGGAGTGCAGGCGGTCCTGGGCAGATGGGCACAGCAGGTTGTCTGTAATGCAATTATTTGGGGGGGAAAGGTTTCAGCAAAGGGGGAGGAGCCAAGGATCCTGCACGTTGTCACTCAGGGGCTGGGGGCAGGGGAGCCCAAAGGAAGCTCTATGTTAAGTGAGAAATGAACAGAGGAAAGACAGGGATGCCTTGAGGTGCAGGCATTTGCTTAAAGAGAGACAAGGTTTAATTAAATGCCATCATGTGGAGAATACACACTCTTCTGTCCGAGACAAAAGGGCCCTAGGAAGAGCTTCGCCACGTTCCATGATTTCTGTGGCGATAGATTTTATTATATCCAAAAATGTTGCCCACTTTCAGTCTGAGCTGGGCACGGACTCTCCAGGAGACCGCGCGCGCGCGTCAAAGTCCTTGAAGTTTGCTGATAGCGGAACTCGGAGGGCTGACAGCACGGGAGAGAGGATTAGAAAAGAGGAGAAACAATGGGTCATTCGGAGCCTCTCCTCTCCTGGATCTCACCCAGGTGAGGCCACATTTCTAAGCCAGGCTGAAAGGCTTGGCGTTGAGCGTGCCCCCTCTCTGCCACACTCTCCGCCGACAGGGAGCCAGGGAGGGTGTGGGAGATAAGGCGGGCTGGCTGCTGACCAGGGGCGTCCCCTGACAGCCGTTGTCTGCAAGCTCTTTTCTGCGGGTGAAACGAGATGCTGATGGAGCGCTCTATAGGGCAGAGCCCGTGTGAGGGCCCAGAAGCCAGAGCTCCTGCGACCTCGGGCCTGGCGCCTCTGTTTTTGTGTGAAATGCTGCATAAGGACCCTATCTCCTGGTGACTCTGCATCCTGGCTTGTCTGGGACTGTCCTCATTCACAGCTGATACACCTGTGCGGTTGTTCACATCACTCCTCTTCGCTCTGCAAAGCTGAATCACGCATTATACGGTGACTCTACTTGTGTTTCGACGTAAAGTCTCACTGGATGACTGAGTAGTCAAACTTTGTTTTATAGAATTGCTGACTCATCTGAAGCCTTGGGTAACATGGTATTTTAACATTCTACTGTTCTCTCCTTAACAGCTGTCACATGCCCACAGTCTACAGAAAATGAGGAGGATTTTTTGAAGAGCGTGGCTATCATGTGGGGAAAGTGTTGACTTAGAAGCATGAAATTTATGACAGAGAAAAAAGTACCCCTAACGCTGCTGGCTCCCAAATCTATAAAGAGGGACAGGAGAGTTCGTACTTAATTTGGACTCTGTAGGCATTCTCTAGGCCAAACCTACAATTTCCTTGAGTTCCACTTCTTTTCCCCTCTCTGCTAGATGCTACCTGGTCTGGATCTTCCTTGCATAGGCTTTCTACACCACAAGACAGGACAAGGCTCTACGCAATAAAAGGTACTATTGACGCATGAAGCAGCATTTGTAATTCAGTAATCCAACATGACCCAAGTCTACAAGCACAGATTCCAATGCCTTGTTAATTTTTGGAAAGAAAAAAAAAAAATAGTTTCAAACAATCTACAAAATTGACCCAAGGATCATCAAGTATTTTAAGCTGTAGCACAAATAATTAACATTTCTCCAAACACTGGATTTCATTGGCTGGAAGATTTCATCAATTATAAGATGAAACAAAATGTTTGTGCTAGTAAGAAATTAAAAAAAAAAACTATTAAAATTAAATTATGGCGCATTCTTTGATTTTAGAAATATTGAACTAGGAAACTATCTTAGGATGAATGAAATATGATATATTAGATATTATGAGTTGGGGGAATTGGAAGTAAATTTCTTTTTTTCTGGCTTGTACTTTATTAAAAAAAATCAAACAAACAAAAAACAAAACACGCAGATAAATCCAACAGTTGCATATTAGTGGAGTACACAGAGCTAAATAGAGTGTCCTGTCCCAAACCACACACACGTCATTAATATTCTGTCCCATCCGAATCCTGGCAGTACGTTTGCGTAGCATTATCTTGTTCCTCACTATGTGACATCATCTTATTCTTTTCTGCTTTCTCGGCTCTAACAAGATTGCAGGTGAGTACTAAAATGGACTTAAAATGACAAAACATATCATTCATTTATGCAAAAATAGCAACCGAACATCTAAATCTTCTAATAAGCACAGGCTTGGGGCCACCACCTTGACTGTTCCCTGGTTCTGTGGTTACCAGCCTTCCGGGTGTCCAAGAATCACTTGACAAACTTGCTTTAAAAATGTCAAGTTCTGGAGCGGTGAGTCTCGTGAGATCCTGGAAATACCCATCTTACACAGCTTTCCAGACACTGATACCACACCATTTGGGAAACTCCGCTTAGCTCTAAACATCATCATCATCAGGCCCAGCTTGGGCGAGGCTGGCGGTGGAGTGGGGGAGGGGCTTATCTTTATGGGAGAGAAAACACAATTTCCCTAAAGTCTGAGGAGCAAGTTTAAGCTTATTTACTCTCTCATTCAAGCTTGGCCCAGATTTTTGTGGACTCTGAGTTAGAGAGCTTGTAAAAAGCATAGGCTTATAAAAGCATTAGCAGCCAGTTTTATCCTAAGAAGGATCAGATAGAAGATCATCCTGCTTGACTTACAAGTAGTTTAACATTATTTTTTATTATTATCATTAATTTCAGAGGAAGGGAGAAGGAGAGAGAGTTAGAAACATCAATGATGAGAGAGAATCATTAATCAGCTATTTCTTGCACATCCCCCAATGGGGATGGAGCCCGTGACCTGGGCATATACCCTGACCAGAAATCGAACCATGACCTCTTGGTTTATACCTAGGTTGATGCTCAACCACTAAGCCACACTGGCCAGACTATTTTGAAGCTTAAAGACAGTCAGATGGTCCCAGAAAGAGGGTGGGAAAGAAATAAAAAATTTTTGGAATTGACTCGATTAATATGATGATTTCAAATCCAGTAAGTACTAAAGTACGTCTAGTGTGCACTAAAGTTCTTTTTAAAAAGCACTATATAAATTAAAAGAAATAGAGGCAATGATCCTTTTATCGTGGGTCCAAACACTACACAACTGACCAAGCTTGATCTCAGAACACTTTAGAGAGTAAGGAAACAAAAAAAAAAAAAAAAAAAAAGAAATTGCTTATTTTATAATATAAAATATAAGCTAGCTTTCAAATCGGGTTAAGTTGTCAAAACAGCTATCGGGAAGAAGGAATCAAGTCTTCACTGATCTTTTTTTTCTTTTTTTTTCCCAACCCTAACGCAATTTTATTTCTAAAGTAAATGCAAAGCCATGCCTTACGTTTACTGTGAAAGCTCTGCCTTCCGCCCAGGTCCATGACTTTGGTGTGCCTCCTCTCCCCTGCCAGGTGCTCCAGCAGGAACCGGTCCAGCTCTCTGTAGGTGTGGTGGAGCACACAGCCTCGCTCGGCCTGCAGGGCGATGGCCTGCTCCAGCAGACTCAAGTTCCCCTTCGCTTTCTCCAGGCCCACGGACTCTTCCGTCATCACCGCCAGGCACTGCTTGTCGTCCTCCTCGGCCCCGGGGAAGGAGGCCTGCGCTTTGCCACCCAGCGCTTCTGCGTGAGCATGCTGCGGGTCTCCCCTTTCGAGGTCAGAATCGCGCCTGTCTTCACACGAGGCAAACCTGTCACCTTCGGTTTTTATTTCGGTGACATCCAGCATGTCTTTCCTGCCGTCCACCAGCATGTACTCTGGGACTCCGCGTGGTTTGGTTTCTTCTGAGAAGTTGGAGCCACTGTCCCAGCCGTTCTCGGTACCCTCCGAGTTGCTTTCGCTGTCGTCGGAGGAGGAGGAGGAGCAGAATCTCAGCTGGGAGTCGCTGGTTTTGTCCTTCCCATCGTCGGAATGAGTGAGAAAGCACTCGTCGACTTCGTCGCCCTCTGCTTTCAGAGACTGGATGCCACTGTCATTTAAGCTTTCATTTGCGGTCTGAACAGAGGCACTTTTTTCAAATGGCCCTAAGTGCATTAAGGATTTGACCACGAGCTCTTGGTAGCAGCCGTATCTGTCTTCCCTCCCATGAGAGTTTTCTTGTGCAGTTGAATGAACAGTCTCATCGATCGGTTTTGCCATGATTTCTTCTATGGGGGAAAAAAGAAAAACCACACACCAACATTTGAAAGACAAGAGCAAAAATAGTTCATGGAAATTATTCTAAGAAAATTATTTAAATGTGTTTAATAATTAAAAATTACTTAAGAAATATTTTCAAAAATACTTCAACTATACATAATGTATACATAAGCATGTATATGAAATATGTGAATATGTAGGCTCTATTAATTTTGAAAGAATTAGGGAGAGAATATATATCTTCTTAAAACAAAACTTAGAAGACCTTCATATTCTGAAGATTAACTTTTAAAAAAATGAGCTATTAGAATTTTTAGTATATTAAGAACTAAGAACTTCTAGGGTACTGAAGTCCATACACAATAGTAACAGAATGTTGAATGTGAAATTGTTGTTACTTTACCTCTTATATTTGCAAATCTTAGCCACCTAAAAGGAAATCAAATATACATAATGCTATGCATTACAAAGGAAACAGTTATCAGATTTTTCTGTTAGCATGGCAATATATCTTCAAAAAGCCTATTTGGTTTCAGTTTTCTGCCTTCATAGTTTTTCAAACATACTTTCCGATTTTATGGGATTTTCGCTAAAATAAGAAATTCATCTACATGATGATAACTAAACAAGTTCTGAAAGCTTTCATGATTTCCTGACCACTTTCATAATAGTCACCCGGAAGTTCCGTGTGGAAGGAAATATTAGCGAATGGGGAACATCAGCATGATCGAATAACGTCTCACCTGGTAACACAGTTCCTGGTCTGGTGCTCCGTGCATTTGTGTGAAAAGGAAAGGAGATGAGAGACAGGGATGTTTGGAAGATGTGGAATGCTAACCGGTTGTTCCTGGTGCAGGACCAGCTGAAATCTTGGCAGTCACGGGGCCCATGACTGAGAACAGGCCCCCGTGCTGGTCTGCCTAGGACAGTCCACTGATCTCTCTTGTCCAAGGACAACTGTTGCGTCACCCCCTTTCCTTCCCAGCATTGGCCCAGTGGGATTGTGTGTGTGCGTGCATGTGTGAGTGTGTGTGTGTGTGTGTGTGTGTTGTATGTGTGTATGAGTGTATGTGTGTGTGTGTACACACATTCATGTGAGTGTGAGCTCTTGTTTGAGTGTTTGTGTGTTCATGTGTATGTCTGTGAGTGTGTGTGCGTGTGTGTGTGTGTTGTGTGTGTGTATGAGTGTATGCGTGTGTGTGTTCGCACATTCATGTGAGTGTGAGCTCTTGTTTGAGTGTATGTGTGATCATGTGTGCATGTGTATGTCTGTGAGTGTGTGTGTATGTGTGTGGTGTGTGTGTCCCAGTACAAACACACCAATGAAGGGTCGGGATTATCTGGTGACCTAACCCTTGCCCAGCTCAAGGTGTACTCAGCGAGCACAGCACCCAGCACATACCAGGCTGTGAAATGGCCAGGCAGTCCAGCAATGCTTCCTTTAGTGAATACTATGACATAAAAGAGGAGGAGGAGGAAGCAGAGGAGGAGGAGCAGGAGGGGGGTGAGGGACGGGCAACACACAATAATCAGCTACCTTAAAGACTGCTACGGACACCAAGCGAAGTGCATTCTGTGTTAATAAGCATCTTTGGCGGGAAGGAAAGCACAGCCATCCCATGTGAGGGCTGTGGGCGAGGGTGTCTGAGCAGAAGACAATGAGCCTTTTTTGTCTCGTTTAATTTTTTTTTTCATAAACATTGTCTCTGACAAGGACACTCAAAAATACATCTCCATCATCTTCCTTTCTGGTAATTATCTCCCTAAATCAACACTGGACTGCCAGGATCAAGTAAATATTGCCATAGTAACTAAAAGCATTTTTGGATGGAGGGAAGAATTTAGTCACAACACTAGCCCCTTTAAATAATGCTGATTATAGGGTGCAGGCTTTTGTTGGGATCTATTCAACATAAACTGAAAAATTCAACATTTCACTTCCTAGAAAAGAGGCTGGGTAAACAAGCACATAATGTTTGCTAGGACGGTCTATCCTCTCCTGAATTCCTATCAGAGGAACTCCAGGTTTAAATAATATATTAAACATAGTCTAAAATGCAAATGAAGTTTCTCTCAATATCACGGCTGGTGATTAAGAGAAAGTGTAAAGGGTTATGATGATTTTAAAGTATTATGAACTACGGAAAACAAATAAAAAGCGTTTTCGGTGAATATGCTCAATTCATTGAACTATTCTCTCACTCCACTTAACTACCCACATGTGTACAATAATGATTTATAGACATTATACCTAATTATGCATATTTGGGCTGTGGTAGAGTGCTAACAAAAGCTCTAGAAAGCAACAATTACCTCTGTTGCTTAGCTACATAGTTTAAAATATTCCTATTAAGTGCAGATCACCAGAGAGGCGGGAGTGACAAAAATGCACATGTGCACAACAATGCGCTTCACTGTGCGGCTGCCAACCGCCAGCACTTTGGGTCATTTCCAGTTTCCATAATTGCTTGGTTCAACTGTTTGTTATATGCTAAAAGAAAATATTTATTAATTATTCTTCAGAAAGACAGGAGTCCTGCTGACAGCCATGGCCGCGCACGAAGGTTTCCAGGGAAGGCCTGCAAACCTGCAACCAGCTTCCCGTGAATCCCTCTCTCCCTGTCATGGAGAAGGAGGGGGGGGGGGGCGGGGGGACACATTGAGTGAGCCTTTGAACCCGACAGAGCTGTGACGAACTTGTTTCTCCTGGCTTTGTCACGGGCTGCCTGCTTCTTTATTATACTAGTGTGTTTCTATTTCCCAGGGTGGCCTAGGGACTTAGTTTGTGCTTTTGCCACTGACATAACTAGAAGATTTCCGCCTTGAATATCAGGGGAGCCTAGGTCTGACGATGGGCCTGGCGTGTATCTCTGTTGAAGCTCCGACAGGTCTCTAACCTTTCTTATTTTTATAAAATATATTTTATTGTTTGTGTTTTTTTTTACAGAGAGGAAGAGAAAGGAATAGAGAGTTAGAAACATCGATGAGAGAGAATCATCGACCAGCTGCCTCCTGCACACTCCCTACTGGGAATGTGCCCACAACCAAGGTACATGCCCTTGACCGGAATTGAACCCGGGGACCTTTTGGTCCGCAGACTGACACTCTATCCACTGAGCCAAACCGGTTTCGATGGTCCCTACCTTTATGATCCTGGTGCCCTCACCCACACAGTGAGGCGCCTGTAGACAGGACCGGGGAGCATGTGGAAAGCAGGTGATACCCCACGGGTGCTCGGTAAGGACGGCTCTCTCCCCCTTTCACTGGGTACTGTTTTAGATGATAGCAGTGGTCAGCAAACTCATTAGTCAACAGAGCCACATTTGATTTCAACGATTGAATTTCAACAATTGAAATTTCTTTTGAGAGCCACATTTTTTTAAACTTAAACTTCTTCTAATGTCACTTCTTCAAAATAGACTCGCCCAGGTCATGGTATTTTGTGGAAGAGCCACAGTCAAGGGCCAAGAGCCGAATGTGGCTCGTGAGTCTCGGTTCGCCGACCACGGGTGTAGACAGGCTACATGGGACCCTCCACGTAAGCGAGATGGAGTTTGCTTAGCACATGGAAGGCACAGGGTGTAGTTTTGCCATTAAGTGGATACAAGCTTGTTACCTGAACTCCCAGGAGCACTAGGCCCTCTCCAGCACCTGCACTGCCCCCTGAAGACACAAGGGGGCGCACACCAGGCCGGGGGAAAGCCTTGGAGCACCAGCAGTCAAGGAGATGAGAGATGAGAAGCCCTGATCCTGGGGCCTGGGGACCAGCTTAGCTCTCTCTCCTGCCGAGGGTGGGGGTAACTTGCTCAAAGGGCTGAAGAAAACTTAAAGAGTTTTGGTCTTTTGACCAGAGAAAGGAGCATCTGTGACCTGTCATTTCTGGAAACGTTGACCTAATGTTGCAGAAACTTTGCGCAGTCTGCTTTCTGAGGGGGGTCAGGGCTTGGGGAGAGTTAGACGCTCAAGCGTGGCTAGCTAGTTATTCTGCTTATTCTTCAGTTGTTTCCTAATTATGTCCTTTTCAACGTTGACAAGCTGCATTACCTTAAGCATTCAATCTCCTTGGCCCTTAATTATCATGTCTGTAAAATTGTGTCCATAATCATACACATGTCATTGCTGGGTTGCTTAAGTGATATAACTTAGTTGCCAAGAATATAAATGGACACAGACAACAGGGGGGTGAGGACATGAGTGAGGGATTTGAGGGGGTAATGGGGGATTAAGGACACATATGTAATACCTTAATAAAGAAATTTAAAAAAATTTTCTACTAAGAAAAATAATATATTAAAATTTCAACAATAATGGCCACTACTTCTGGAATTTCAGCATATTCATTGTTATTAGTCATGATTCTGCACTAAATATAAAAAATAAGTAGCATTTGTGAACCTGCAAATAGATGTCCATCAGCACTTATAACTGAAATTTTAACTGAGCACCTTTTGACAGTCTATTTTCTTAGTAAATACTAAGCATCTACAATGGTTACACCATCAGTGGGCAGATACAGTCCAAGTCCAACCACACTGATTCAAGGGCTTTCTAGATTCTATCTGCAATTTTCATGAATCAACAAAAATCTAACCAACTCAAGGAAACAAATGAAAAAAAAAAAAGTCAAATATGATTATAATTTACAAATGAGCCATGAGGCTTTAAGCCACATGTTAAATATAGGAAAGTCAGGACATTTGCTTAAACATCATCAAATCAGAATATAAATATTTTTTTAACTATAGAATCTCAAACTACTTGTAAGCCAAGATTACTGGAGACCTATTGATTGCGATCTGAGATTTGTGCACACTCATCTTTCATATGCTTTTACATCTTTTCTGTTGACACCTATTGCTATTACTATCTTTCTACACAAAATAGATATTTATGATCTAACACTCTTGTTGCCTTTGGTTTGTATAATATACTAGAGGCCTGATGCATGAAATTCAGCCCTGACTTCATCCAGAAGGTCATTCCGCTGTTCGATCTAATTAGCATATTAGCTCTTTATTATATAGGATACTTATTTTTCAAATAACAATTCATTTGGTATATTTTGATTCCTATAAAGTCACGTTTAGAAAAAAAATGTGTATTTGATTTAGAATACCTAATTTCATTTTCTAATAAGTCAAGCTTTATATTTCTTTTTTTTTTAATATAATTTTTGGGATACTTTGAATGTCCTTTAACTTCAGCCTCATGCACAATGTGGTTGGTGGTATTCTGACTCCCAGAGGCACGATGACTACTGGGAGTAACTATGAACTGTGGACAAACATCCTAAAATTCTGAAATTGTAACTACATATAACTTGTAATGCAAACAGCATTTAATGAGTGAAGAACTGAATTTGTGAAACATAATGTGTGCTTATAGGTAAATTAAATTGATCTTAGTTTGGAAATAGTTTGGAAATACTGGGCACAGTAACAAATTTTCTATATCATTTTTCTAGAGGGAAAAGCTAGACAGCCAACTTTATGTCCTTCTGCAATCCATTGCTATATTTTTTTTAATGTTGAAAATATTAAGGTTGCATTCCACCTGCATTGGTCCATGTTATCACCAATTATATTTTGAGGATATATATATATATATATATATATATATATATATAACAAAAATATGTTTTATTCATGTATACCATATCTTAAATCTCCTCAAGATTAAATCTGTCCTTTTATTTTGAAAGGTTCTTTCAAGCATTAGACATCTACCCTATTTGGGAGTCAAGGTATTCATCAGCTTTCAGGCTTAGTGTCTTTTATATTCTTCAAAAAGAGGCACAGTCCAACCCCGAATTTTGAAAATGAACTCAGGGCAAGGCCTCCCCCATGCTTATCTTTAGACATCCCACAGTCAGGGATAAAAATCAGCCCTCAACAAATGGATCCTACATGAAATAAATATTTAATTTGCTTCCAAATTCAAACACACAAGTTGTGTGTGTTCTCCAGAAGCTAAGACTGAGTCTTCGGTGCCTCCGAGCAGATACAGAGTTTGGGCCCCTCCTTGCTACCTGTGGTCGGGTGAGCGTTGGCCGCCAGCAGGCCGTTGTCCTCCTCCGCCTCCGTCCTGGTATCAAGCCCCTCCTGGCCGTTCACGTTTGGGCTGTAATGTCTGGGCTTCATCAGCAGGGACTTTCTCTTATTGATAGGGACACCTGAGGCTTGCTCTTCAGCTCTCCTCTTCTTTGCCATGGAGCAATCATATGCCATGCTGCAGTGATTGAGGCAAATGAAGAACATGGTGAAGAGTATACTGCTATTTGCCTTTTGACGTTCATGAGTATGACTCCAAGTTCATGGGAACTTGGAACTAAAAGTTCAGGGTTTGTGGATGGCATGAAAGAAAACAGCCCATCCACTGAATCGATTATGGATTCTATTTTACTGACTATCAAACAGGGTTTTTTTTAAAAAAAAAAAAAAATCATCCTTAATCCTGAGTAAGCATATGTTAATCTGTGCTTTGCTTGGCACTACACTAAATACCCAGGGAAGGATGAAACAAGATTTGCACTGGCCAGCCAATCCCGAGAAACAGCTAATGTGAAAAATTAGCACTGGATACAAAAACAAAAACAAAAAATCACATGTCCAACGTGGATAAATTGCAAGGTTTTTTGATAGTTGTTTGCTACCCAAACTGCTTATCCCTGCCACAGTTGCACATCAAACTTGGGGTGCCACATCTTGAGCTTTGACTTGAAAGAAAGGAGAAGGAAAGGGGACATTATGAGCATTTAATTAGCCCATCTCCAGAAAACCCCTCACCCCAAAAAAGTGAAAAGATGCTATGTGGCATTCTATTTTTTAATTCTCACCCTTTTAGCACACAGAACAAACACATAAAAGGAGAATAAATAAGATTGGATTTCACAAAAATGGACAACAATTTATTCTTACTCCTGTTTTCATATCGTTTTATTTGAAAATGCTCCTGTGCGCGGCCCTTTCAAATAGATTTCCTGCAAACAGCTCACTCAGATTTACTGTAGATCACTCTACGCATTGAAGCTAAGACAAGCATTCTCTTGGCAAGATACAAGAAGAGCAGAGGGTTTAGGAAGCAGTGAGTCTCAAAGTAATACGTTATTCTTTACTCTGTCACTAAAAAGCTGATGAAATGCTCAGTCATGTTACTAAATAGAGAAAGGCCTTAAGTTGTTCTCTCAGAAACATCAATGCAAAGATGGTGGCCCATTCATGAGGATTACTTGATTATACTTATACATGAATCCTTGGATTTCAAAGAGTAGATTTTAAAAAACAATGCCAGAAGAAAAAATACTATTTCTTCTAGGGGAAAAAAAAAGATTCTGGAAGGAAAGATCACTTAAGATGGTTAGAAATCCCTCAAAAATAGATTAAAATAGAAGAATTTAAAATTATTCTGAGAAAGAAAAGGGTATAGTGCCTAAATAAGCTAATGTGCTTGTGTAAAATTTCTCTTGGGAGCTCAAATTTAAACTGACCATGTACAGAAGATGGAGCAAAAGATAAAATACCCAGAGAGCAAACACGTGCCTTTGTAAGAAGACTGCAGCAAACAGAACCTACCAATTTGTCAAAGAGCCTACAAATGTGGTTATGATAGAATGAGACCAAGCGCAGAGACACCGAACTACCCTGCCCCTTGCCTTCTTTCTCAAGGAGATTAACCTTTAAAGAAGGAGGGACAGAAAAAAAAAAAAAAAAAAAGCCGAAACAGGTTTGACTCAATGGATAGAGCGTCAGTTTGGGTACTGAAGGGTCCTGGGTTCAATTCCGGTCAAGGGCATGTACCTTGGTTGCGGGCATATCCCCAGTAGGGGGTGTGCAAGAGGTAGCTGATCGATGACTCTCTCTCATCGATGTTTCTAACTATCTCTCTCCCTTCCTCTCTGTACAAAATCAATAAAATATATTTTTTTAAAAAGAAAAAAATATATAACAAAGAGAATAAATTTCCTAGTTAGATAAAAGAGAGAGAGAGAGAGAGAGAGAGAGAGAGAGAGAGAGAGTTCAAGAAGTTCCCTAAATGAAAGTCTCCTACTTCAAGTGAATTTCCATCAAAGATGCTCAGAAGAAATACAAGCCCACTAAACCATTATCTCAACCTAAGAAGTTTTATAGACAAAATGAGAGTCCTAAAAAATGTCACTCAGATATTAAAGCAAGGGGGAAAAGTGGATTCTTAAAGCCAATTTAAGCATCACAATAGAAAGAGGCTGAGAAAGTTTATGAAGTTGAAGACATGTCAGTCCTGGAAACACAAATCAAGGAGACATGCGGAGGTCGGGATGGTTAAAAAGAACTGGTCGGTCAAGAAAATGTTTTTCTTCCATGGTTGGGGTGATGAAGGGGACTACACATCTCCTACCTGTAACACCCCTACAAACGGAGTCTTGTTAACATTGTTACCTACACGTACTTACAAAATCAAATTACATTCCCCAAATCACACATCCAGTCATCGGTGGTGCTGATATTTAAATCCCAGTCTGCTGGCCCCAAAGCTCAGGCTCCCTCCTGTGTGTTGTCAAATCAGAACAATGAACTTGGGGGGGTTTCCGTGTGCATGTGACAGTGGGGTGAAGTGCTGCCTGGATGAACCAGCCACCCCTCTAACCGGAAGGAAGCTGCCTGCCACCGGGCGTTGCCCCATGATTGGGGTGCAGACATCTATGATGTCCATGCGCTCTGGGGTGCTGCTAACTTGCAGCCATGAAAACCATGCTGGGAAATATAATTAAGACCCCCCCAAAGTGTCCAGAGATGGAGCAGTGGGATGAAACTAATGAGGTGACATTTAATGGTCATAAAACTCAAGATCAGTATTTGGACCCAAATAATAACGGTGTCAAGGACGAAGAGGAAATGGAAGACTTTAGCAAAAGTACACATTTAACTGGAAATAACGTTAGTACACTTAATACACTGTGTCTCATGTCCCTTAAGTGATATTAGCTGTGTAATCTGTAACACAACGTTGAATCTTTTGGAAACCAAATTCCTTACCCATAGAACAGGGTAACACCTTTTGGGTCACATGCTGTAGGTGGGCTGGTAAGAGCAGAAATAGAACAGATTAGAGCTGGTCTGACTCCCAGATCAGTGCTCTTTGGACTCCATCAACATCAGGCTGAGGTCCCCGCTCTGCAACAACACACACTCCCTCCCCAACACACTGTGCGGATGTATGCCTGCTTGCCTGTCCATGAAGGCACTTTCCTCTTTTTACAGATAATTTATATTTACATAAATTGCATCTGATTTGTGCATAACATTTGCTTTAAATCTCACACTCCGTGCACTTCTCCGTTGCAAAGTAGCCATGGCCCCTGACAGCATTTGGAGTTGAAATGGAAAGGCTTTGTAATCAATATCACCCTTTGTGTGCGTGTGGAAAATGGTCCCTTTCCCTCGTTTTCCCCGAGGGCACACTATTTTGGCTTTATTGTGACACTTCACTGTGACACTGCAATGAGGGAAAGCCATGCTTTACATGTCACTGAAAGAAATGCCACAAAATGCTAACATATCTTCCAAGGTTGCCAGAAATAATTTCCACTGGGTTGTGTTTTCCCATCTGCGGAGCTCTGAAATGTTAAGGAAATAAATGAGCTCTATTATCTATATTTTTCTAGTCGATGAGAAAGAAAGAAAAAAAGAAAAGACCTCTGCATTTATTGTTCTATTCAATCAAACTGTTGCTCGAAACATCCAGAGTCCTCCAGGGAACTTTATCAACGCACCAAATACCTTTCAATGCCACACTGCAAAGCTATGGTTTCAATTTTATTAAAATATCTGTAACATATCTGCATTTTTACCCAAAGGAAGTGTTTTGGTTACATCTTTAATAAATGCTTCCATTTAGAAACTCAAATTCTAATTAGAAATCACATTCCCTCTGATGACAACATATGACTGAATTTTTATTTAACAAATGACTGAGGAAAACAGTAATTAGATAACATGAATGAACAAATCAGTGCTGGAAATATATTTAGAAGTCAAATTCATTAACTTTTCAGATTTCAGAAAAGACTACAACAAATTAGGGAACTGTAACCCCCAGTATTTGTCCAGTAAGCTCTGGGCTCCAGAACAATTTTCTAGTTTATTTCCCAGAGTAATCAATTCTCAATGCAAGTTACCAGAAAATATCTAACATATTTAAAAATGTAGCTTCAGCAATAGATATATTCTGATAACATTTCACCAAAAGAATATAACAAAAGTGATTTGGAAGTTATTAATCCCTGAGTCCAAAGAAATTATTTACATGCTCCAATATTTCCATGGAAATTTCATAGTTGGTATTTCTACTGATTTCTTCTATCTAGGCAGAATACTACAGACTTATGGGGAGGTACCAAAAACTATAAATTTGAATTAAAAAGAAAATAAAAAAGTATATGGTGATGGAAAAAGAAAAACTTAAACTATTATTTTTTCAGAGGCATGATTATGTTTGAGGAAAACCCAAAAGAATTGATAGATAAAACACTAAAATAAAGAGGTGAATTTAGTAAGGTCACTTTAGAAAATTATTTGCATTTCTATAAAGAAGCAATAAAAATTAGAAATAATAATTTAAAAATAAAACTATTTATACTATATAGAAATAAATACCTAGGAATAAATATAACAAAATATGTATAAAGTGAATGCAAAACAAGTAACATTTTGAGAAAATTAAAGACAAATAGAGAAGTATAAAATATTCATGGAATAAAGGGCCCAATATTGTACAATTTGAATTCTCCCTAAACTTATTTTTTAGATTTAATACAGTCCCCAGAAAAAAAATCTCAAGAATAATTTTTTTTAGAAATTAACAAGTTAATTCTAAAATTTGTATGAAAATGAAAAGCTCCATGAATAGCAAAGATCATCTCAAAGAAGAACAAGAACAAAGTTGAAAGACTTATAGCCTTGGATGTCAAAGCTTCTCATAAATCTGTAATACTTAAGATAGGGTGTTATTGCAGCAAGCATCAACAAATAGATCAATGAGACTAAGAGGTAGATGCTCCATCTATTGGGTCCAGAAGTAGCCTCACACATATGTGGTCAATTTATGACAAGGGTGTCATTTGGGAAGGGGCTGTTACTTTAATGAATAGTGCCATGTCACTGGGATATCTATCTGAAAAAAACCTTGACTTCTACTGTATAGCAGATATAAGAAATAATTCCAGAAAAAGTATGGATTTAAAGCTGCTAAAA